CGGATTTGATTGGAGCATCTTAAAAGATTATGTTCTTTGCTCGTCATGTGTTTATTTGTTTTAAGGGGAAAAAAAGAAAGAAGCAGATTCGTGGAGCGATGTTGATCAGACATCCTCGGAGACTATTTAAGATTCAATGTATATATCTCCCATCGCCGTCAACACGAAACATTGAACTTAATAATTCTCTTAGGCATATATGTACGTCTCATAATTAATTAATCATATAAACTTAAATAATTGAGAGAATTAGCTTAACGTTAATCATTTGATTGATCAGCGTGTGTGTATAGTTTATGAATGACTAGGTAACGTGAAAAGTACCTAACTAATGAAGGTAGGCTTACATATATATGAACTAGCCATGATGGAAAGTTTAATGGTCGAGATTGATCGCGTGTTTGCACGTTGTATGTATATAAGCTCAACGTGCATGCACATGTTCTTATATCCTCCGCTATTCGTCTAGGCCACCCAAAAATATATCTCAATTCATAATTTGTTATAATATCGTAAAAATTTATACTTTGCATAAAGTATGACGGAATATACATTAGATTTTGTATGTACAACGTATTTTTACATGGTAATCTGGTATATGTAAATGTAAAATTTGTGTGTCATTCAGTGAAGATAAAAAAGATCATACCATTCGAATCTAAAAGTTGAATGTTATGTTTACAAGTTAGATCGAGCAAGTAAAATTCTAAATTTAGTGCACTTGCAGGGCCAGAGCTGGAAATGAATGATAGTTGGGTCTAAAACCCATTTAGAATAATTGGCTTGAGATTGGCCCGTTTATTGTTTATGGTCTGATCCATAAACCGACACTTTGTTACAGTACAAATTAGGTATAGCCAATGAGAAGGAAAGCTATTCTATCTACTACTCCTTCGTCGGCAAAAAATAAATAAACAGCCTCTCTCTCTCTCAAAAAAAAAAAAGAAGAGATGAAGAAGATTTGCATTAGAGGAAGAGTCATATTACATGTTTTGTGCGTGAATCTAATTCATATAAGCTCATGTAGTAATCCTATCTTGTTGTTGGATTAGATTCACGCACAAACTCGTAATCTGTCTTTTCAAATATTCTTTTGTAGATCTGTCTTGGGAATCATATCTTTGTTTTCGTTTTTTACTGATAATGATTTTTTATAGGATTTTAGATGGTGTTTAACTGCTGTTCGAGATCAACATCTAGTTTTCTACTTTGGGAAACAAATACTTTCTTTAGTTACTATGTTTGGTATGGATGGATTGGCGAGCCATGAAGTGAAATGGTTTCTATTTATGCATCTTCTTTAAATGTCTGTACGTCTGGTTAGATTTAGTTTGTAGTGTTTGACTTAATTTACAATCTAACTAGTAGCTCTGTTCTGGTTCTTGTAATGATACTATTATTATTATGTGTTGTAATTTATCTCAAAACAAGGTTTGTCTGTTTCACCAACGCTCTGCTTCCTTCATTTATTAATTAAAATTGGCGCAAACTTGTTTAAGAACCTGTACGATCTTTACAACCCTTGTAACAACATTCCTAGATTTCTTGAATAAGAAAGCTTCAACTATGCTTTGATTATATCCGCGAGAACGGAGACTTGTCAAATCTCTAAAAGAGAAAGAAACAATGGAGATTAAAATAGGTTTACATCTTCCTCTCTAATGGGCTAAAAACGATTGGGCCATCATCGTCGTTCACGTGTGATGTTTTATAAGAGCAGACATGAAAGTCGTCACTGATGTGATTAAGCTCACGTGTGAATGTGTGATATCATAGTACTACTATGTATGGTGCAGAATGCAGATTGTCGAATCTTTTTCTGTATACCAGAGAGAAAGAGATGGTCTAAATCATTTTAAAAAAGAAAGAATTTATGGTGGAAACTCACTCGGGTTACTTTTATTTCTATCTTTAGCATCTTTTTCCTCGTAGCTAGTAAACAACAAATGTGACACTTAGAAGATATTCGAGAGCACAAATAATGTTTTTCAAGACAAATGATACAACAAGACTTTGAAAACACTAGCAACCATTACTAAACGCAATCAATTATCCCAACCAGACCTCCTTTTCCTCTCTCTTGGCCGATCTTCAGAACTGTAACAGCAAGATCCGATACAATCAGCTAACAGTAGATCAAACCTAGCAAGACAACATCGAAACTAAAAGGAAGCAAACCTCTGTGGATTCTTTTGACTGGGGTTATTTAATGAAGCATTATGACTGGCTGTTACAGGGGGAGTTTGAGACTGAGTTCTACCCATATCTCCACCAATGGTTCCACCTGAGACAAATCCCATTAGCGATGGTCTCTTGTTCGGATAGCCTCCTTGGCTTTGTGGGTTTGATGGTGTAGCAGCCACAAAGCTATTCTTGAATTGGGCCATTACTCCCGTCCTCACAGAATTGATCACCCCCTTTCTACTTGGTGCAGCTTGAGACGCTGTCCCACTCGATTCTGAGTTAAATCCAATACCAAGACCAAAATCAACTCCTCGTACTCCTCTATTTCCACCACCACCACCACCACCTCCACCTCTTCCTCGTCCTTTCTTCCCACCTATGTAACAATAAATTCAGCGATCATGCACGGCTCTTTGGATAGATTGTCTCAATTTACAGAAACACATATGCATAGAAAAACATTGACCACACAGATCATATCCCTGAATCCAAATCTAATGAAAGACAACAGAACTAAATATGCTTACCTCCTTTTCTTCCGTCACGCTTAGACTTGAATCGTCCATCCTATTGATTTGCAAAAGTAAATTTCACTCAACAATCATGTTTTGTTTAATGCAGAAAAGAAACTAGAGTGATGGAACGAAGCTAGTAGGATGAACAATCATAACATGAAGAGAAAATAAAAGAAAAGAAATCTATTGCATATATAAATAGAAAGAGGTCAATGAAATGGAGCTGTTATTACCTTCATGGCGAGATCCATGAGTTCTGGAGGCACATTCTGACCAGCAGCAACCAGACTGTTTATCAATTCACCAGCAAATCTAGCTTCTCTCTGCGTAACAAGTGTGTAGGCAACCCCGTCTTTGTCACCAGCACGACCTGTTCTACCAATACGATGTACATGCATGTCCATGTCTTTTGCAGTGTCGTAGTTAACCACTGTCTTAAGCGACTTGATGTCAAGACCCCTGGCAGCAACATCAGTGGCAACTAGCACATGGTAGACTCCAGATTTGAACTTCTGCAAAGTTTCCATTCGTGAGGCCTGGTCTTTATCACCGTGAAGGGCAGCAACTTTAAAAGCATTCAGAGTAAGCTGAGCTTCAATCTCATCAACAGTGGCCTTCTTAGAAGCGAACACTAACACGTCACCCTCATCAATCATTCCAGGTAGCTTCTCAAGTAGCCAGGGAAGTTTGTCAGCATCTGATGGTATTACATTGACAACTTGTGTGATATCTTCATTAGCCATCCCAGCTTCACCAACTGTGACTCTAATAGGATCTGAAAGAATCTCCCTAGCTAACTTCTCAACTTTCCAAGGCATAGTAGCCGAGAAGAGTAACGTCTGGCGATCTGGACGAATCTGACCAACGATAGATCTCACTTGTGGCTCAAAACCAAGGTCAAACATCCGATCAGCTTCGTCAAGAACCAAATACGAGGCTCTCATCATCGTCAAAGCCTTCATCTTCAGCATGTCTATCAACCTCCCAGGGGTAGCAACAACAATCTCACATCCCGCCTTGAGTTCTCTAAACTGCTCATGCTTCCCCATTCCACCGTACACAGCAGAGACTCGTAACCCATACGCTTTAGAGAATTTCTTAGCTTCCAAGTAAATCTGATGAGCAAGTTCTCTGGTTGGAGCACATATGACACCGATAGGACCTTCTTCTCTCCGAAGCTCAGGCTGATCCATAATATGAACAATCATGGGAAGAACAAAAGCTGCAGTCTTCCCAGAACCAGTCTTGGCTATACCAATAACATCTCTACCGGATAACACAACGGGTAAAGCTTGACACTGGATAGTTGTTGGCTTCTCATAAGCTTGCTTCTTGATAGCACTCATGATCTGTGAGGAAAAGCCACAATCCTCAAAGGTCTTCACAGGTCTAGGAACATCGAAACCGGATACACGAATCCCCAAACTGTGACGATAATCCAAAGCTTCTTGCTCACTCATTCCTAGATTAAGAAGATACTGATTAGCTAAGTGAATTTGAATCTAACACAAACAAACAAACAAAACTCAACTTACTTGTTATTGACTCAGCCTCCTCGTAGAAGTCCTTGTTAATAGGTTCGTAATCGATGGAGCTGTGATCGAGAGCTTGAATAGGCTCAATCTTTCTTTTATCGACAACAATCGGATTATCATCGGAATCGTACTCAAGCATCCCCGCGTCTACAGCCTTGGCTGCTGCATACACCTCCTCGTCGGATTTGTAACCGGCGTTAAGCGCGTCGGCAGCTAGTGTGAGGCCTAGATCCTTCTTGGCCTTGAGGAAACTCACGACATGGTCGTCGTCGTCTTCGTCGTCTTTGTACCTCTCTGCTTTCGCCTTTGGTTTAGGAGGTGGAGCTGACTTCATTTCCTCGTGGATTCCTTCCATGAATGCGTCTAGTGGATCGATCTCGTCATCTTCAGCATCGTTAGCTGCCGCGGAGACATCGTTCTGAAGGTCGGGTTCTTCGTCCTCTTCGTTTTCGATGAAATCAATGTTGTCTACGTCGGCGTCTTCGGAGTTATCTCCGCCGCGAAACCGCTGAGAGTTCCGATTAGACATGGCTTTTTTAATTAGGGATTTGTGTTTTTTTTTCCCCGGCGATATGTAAACTGAGAAGGACAGTCTCCAGGTTTGCCGACTTGACGAGTAATTGATAATAATGGGCTTTTCCTTTGCATTTATTTGATAAAAGGCCCATATTATTTTATAAAATGGCCCAGCCAATATATATAAGTTGTCTCCATAATACAAGCTTAGCAGCAAGAAAGGAAGAAAGGAAACAAAGGAAAGAGATGAGAAGAAGAAAAAAAAAAAGAGAGTGGACTCGAGTTACGTTCAGAGTCGGCTCTCACCGAGTGAGTTTGCTGGGAAGGGAGCAGCAAAATCCAAACCCGTCCGTATTATATATAACCACCCGATAAAAAAGGGATCTTTCGATTTTTTTTTTTTTTGGGTTGGGTGTGAGTGAGTGTGTAAAAAGAAAAAAAAAAGAAAGAGATGGAGAAGGAAGAGGAGATAATAAGTCTCTCACCTCTTTACTACTACTATTCTCCTTATGTTGTCTTAAATCTTTTTCCCGACTCCTTCCCTAACCCTAATTCTTCTTCTTCTTCTTCGTCTACAATTCAATTCTCGATTTTTTTTCCTCAATCCTATTTACGGGTTTCCAATTCTCACCATCATCTTCTTCTCTATCCTCTCGGATTGTCCTCTCTATCTTTGCTAAGGTATTCTTCGCTGCGTCTTTTAATTTCGATTCTCTCTTGTGTTGATGATCGTGTATAGTCTGAAAGTTTCTTCTCGTTTATTGTTGATTCGATCGTTTCAATTCGTGGATTTGCTATAGATCGTACTTAGTTCTCGTCTCTCATTGATCACTCGTTAACGATTGTTCTTAGATTCTGATGTTTGATTTCAATTCTCAACAAGATTTCACCTTTGTGATCCATCTCTGGTTGCTTACATGTTCTAAATGCATTACATGTTTTTGCTTCTCAGTGGAGTGGAGGTGCTTCTACGATCATCAGCTATAGTTAGTCTTGAAGTTGAGTAATCTGCTAAGAGCGGAAAGAGTGTATATGCATCTCTACAATGGAAGCTAATGATGGTTTGAATAATACGGTGAGGAAGAAGCGTAGCTTGACTTGTCGTCGTCGTCCTCGCCCTGACGGATCCACTCTCTTAAAGCCTCCTCCACATAACTCCAGCAAGATCTCCAGTGATGATATACCCGCTTTTGATACTAACCCTACAAGGAAAGAGTTTAGTCTTAGCCACTGTATCTCAAGGGCTGATTCTATTGCTGAGTCCCAAAGAGGAACTAATGGTACTCGTCGGAGAGAGATCGTCAATAGATACAAACGCTCTACTGAAGGTGTACTCGCACCTGCTAGCTGGAAGAACACTAGCTGTGAAGATGAAGGTAATGGCAGGATCAATGGAAAGGCTTTGCTAGGGAGTGAAACAAAGAGAATGAAGCTTAAGATCAGTGGTGGTGTGAGTCGGCTGCTTCATGCTAATGGTTCTTCTCGAAAGTCTTCAAAACCGTTGGTGAATGATACTACTAACAACGATTTGGAGGTAAAATTATACTGCTTTGATATATATTGACAAAAGCTCTACTTGCTGAATTGTTTCTCATGTATTGCAAATTGTAGTGTACGTTATCATCCTTTTGCATTGGAAAATCTTTTGTGTTCTGCATTTCACTTTGTTATTATTGATTGTGTCTTAATTTCTGTGGTTGGCTTTGTTTGGCAGTTTAGAGATATTGAAGACTCATACTATATCTTTTGACATTTAATGGCAGGAAAGTTCAGATTCCCCTCTAGATGACAAGGCTGGTCTCGAAGACGAATCTATGAGTGGGAGGCGAAAACAAGGGGAACCAGGTGGCTCGGTTCGCAAGAGCAAAAGAGCCCCCAAGAAGAGGGTTTTCGATAACGATGATGACAGTGATGGTGAGATCCGTTATTTGGAAAAACTCAAGTTTAGGAATGTCTCTCTGTGTAATGAAGAGACTGAGTCCGTGAGGAGGGAGCTGAAGGCATCTAATGGGGAAAAGGCTTCCGAAGAGATGGATTATGAGGAGGAGGAACTTGATTCGGTGGCTGTTGAAAAGGGGATTGGTAATGAGGTTAAGAGGGAAGCGACTTTGACTACTCGCCAACGAGCCCTTGCTTCTGCATCTGGCAAACCAAGCGCGATTGAATTTATAGATGGATTACCTCCTACTACCTCGAGAAGTATGTGTTTTTCTTTCTCTTGCTCCAGAATTTATAGATGGATTACCTCCTACTACCTATATATCTTTTTGCAATAAAGGTTGGTGATTAATTTTGTTGAAAATAAAATAGGGAAGAAGGAGAATCTTTCAGAGATGGAGCAGCAACTGAAGAAGGCAGAAGCTGCTCAAAGGCGAAAAGTTCAGGTTGAGAAGGCTGCAAGGGAGGCTGAGGTTGGTGCTTTTCAGTCTCTCTGTTGTAAAAATATTGGCATTTTCATGTTATGAATGGTTTCGGTTTTGTTTCTACAGGAAGAGGCCATTAGAAAAATTCTAGGTCAAGATTCGAGCAGGAAGAAGCGTGAAGACAAAATTAAAAAACGACTTGACGAATTGGCACAGGTACTCAGAGAAACCACCTTACTGTTGCTATGTTATTTGTGAGTAAAAACTGAGATGCTGAATTATGCGTTGAATTGATGACAGGAGAAAGCTGCACATGAGGAGAGGGTCTCAACAAGCTACATCAGAACAATAATGGGTCCTAATGGAACCACTGTTTCTTTTCCCATTGACAAAGTGCCTAGCCTGTTCGATCCCAAACCATCCGGGTATATAGTTTACTCTCTTTTCTTTCTCACAAAACTCTGTATGTCTCATAGCTGATTTTGTCTGATTAGTGTGTGAGCAAATGCTACATCAGATGGTTAGTGAACAGTATAAATAGAGAATACTACAAATGTGTTTAGGTATGGAGGATTAAGGAATGCTCTCTATAGAATTTGGATTCTTTTTGTTCTTTGGATTATGTTTTGTATTGTAACGTTTCATAGAACATAAAAGAGGAGTTCATGTGTTTAGAACCTTTTGTCATAATAATGTTTAGCATTTTGTGTATCTGCAGCTATCCTCCTCCTCGGGAAAACTGTGCGGGTCCATCGTGCACCAATCCTTACAAGTATCGTGATTCAAAGACAAAGCTTCCTCTCTGCAGCCTCAAATGTTACAAGGCGGTTCAGGAGCAGCAGCAGCAACAGACCGCACCGGTTTAGATATTGATTTTATTTTTTTATATATAAAAAGGTCAACAACTCAGCTCTCTGAGTTTATAGAGATTACAGGAAGAAGACATGTTTTAGTCTTTGTTTTGCTTTACTTCGGTCTCTGATTGGATAGTTCATTTTTCCTTTGTGAGTAGACGAGATCATGGCCTTCCATTGGCGTTTTACCAAACAATGACATCATAGCAGTTCATATATATCATTCTACAACAGCTTCTTTAATGATAAAACTACATTTGAACTAGACATGATACAAAAATGCTCTCTATTATTGAAGCAAGCTTAATGGGCGCGCAGTACGCCGTCGTTTACTAACTGTGATTGCGTCTCTCTGAAGTTATTGTTCTCCATAATATATATTTTGTTTGTTTTGTGTAGTTGACAATTTTGTGAAGATAAGTCAGAAACTTGTTAATTGGAAAGAATAAAGGCAATGATGTCTCATCACTCTTTGATTGTGTTTAAATAATCAAGCAATCTCTAATAATGCGTATGTATGAATATTGTATAAACGTATTTTATAATATATGCATATGATTCGTTTTCATCAAACCTAACTTGAAACTATAGACATGGCACCCACTCCTTGATCTTTCCTTCAAACATAAACCTTCAACTTCCTAAGGAAAAAATATATATAAATAAAGACAAAAACTAGCTTTATATTTCTTAACTTCTCAACCTTCTTTCACTTTAGATAAATATGAGTATGGCCGGCGGTGGAAAGTGGCGGAGAGAGGCGGAGCAGCTGGTGGTTAAGCCTTTCCGGCTAGTGACAACAACTCTCCTCAGCCTCCTCCTTCCTCTCTCTTTCCTTCTTCTTAGCCGTCTCTCATCAGCTTCCTTCCTCTTCTCCTTGATCAAGTCTCCTCCTCAAACGGATTCATCTTTCTTCTTCTCTATATTTCATTACACGAACCCGTCGATCTTATATGCGGTTGTTTCGTTAATAAGCGTTTATACACTAGTTCTTGGTCTGACCACAAAGATCACATCAACAGATCCTAACCGGTCCATTCCCTTTATTCCACATGTCAGCATCGCGTGGCTCACGCTTTTCCTTGTTCAAATCTCCGTCGGTTTAGGCCTCGAAGGAACCAACTCGGACGGTTTAATAATCGGGAGCGAACGTAACTTCTTGAGCAGGCTAGTGTTTTTCTTTGGTCTTCATGAGGTAATGCTTCTGTGGTGTAGGGTGATTGTGAGACCGGTGGTGGACAGCACGTTGATCGGAGGAGACGCATGTCATCACCGGAGAGAAGAGACGGTGGTGGAGAGAGTGGCTTTGGCAGTGAGCTGTGGGACGTTGTGGTGGTGGAAGCTTCGAGATGAGGTAGAGGCTTTGGTTGGTGTGGCAGAGGCTAAAAGAGCATTGTTGTTGTTATTACCAATCCATGGTAATGTTAACGTTGGTTTTGAAGTGGGAACTGTTGATTTTGTGAATTGGTGGTTATACTATATGGTTGTAACGATCGGTATGGTTAGGATCGTTAAAGGGTCTTTATGGTTTGGAATGGTATTGCTTTTTGAACAAGGAAGTAGAAGAAGTCCACGTGGAATTGCTAGTGCTGCTCCTGTTTCTACAGCTTCTCTTGTTCATTATGACGATGAAGGTGACACTAAAGTGTAAGTAACCATTGGTTATAATGTCACTAGCGGAATGCATTTTTTTGGGTTCAAGCTGATATTTGTAATGCAAATGATGTTATGATTGCTTATCTAATTCTATAGATTGAATGAAATTTGATAAAGAGAGCCTTTACACCACATTCCAATAAGAATCATTAAAAAGACCATTAGCACACACAACTTAATACTAAGAGAGATTAACACTAAACAGAGTCTAAAACACAGCTTCCACTAGTATATGTCTCTTCTTAGAACCAAACCCAACAATGTGGTTTAAATAAACTCTTCCTTCCTTCACAGTAGCCGACGAGACTATCCGGTGAATCATACCGGTACTGAACCAACCTGTCACAGTAGCTGTCCTCCACCCATCCGAGCTCTCAACCAATTTCGCAGAAGGACTCCCTGAAAACACTCGGTAATAGTTTTTTTTTAATATGTAGCTGCCTAAAATTCATTGGTAGACGTAAAAAAATGAGAAATTAATGAGAGACATTAAAGACTTACCTGCAACAACAATCTTAGTAGGAGACAACAACTCAAGCCCATCACCAAACCTCAACGTCCCACCAGTAACTTCAATGACAGTGACCTTATTACTCTCTCCCACATCAGCAGTCAGATCGATTTTGTATAGTAAACCGGAGAAAGTGTGGATGGCTATAAGGAAACCATCAGGGTGATAAACAATGCCGTTAAGAGCGACAAGGTTATTGTACCACCCAGATGGAGTGAAGAGAGGGCTCTCAATGGTTGACACAAGCTCTCCATTAACATCAACTTTCCAGATTTTACTACCTTTTGCATCGGTAACATAAGCATTGCCTTGTGCATCAACAGCTACATCGTCTGCAAATGATTTCTCTTTACCTACATTCATCAAAATATTATTACAAAACGAGAAAAAAGGGCAGAACCTAAAGTCTAACAGTTTCACAAATCTCAAGATGGAAACTTTGGTGTCGACGGAGGAAGAAGCAGAGAGACTAGAAAAGAAGCTTACTCTGGCCGCTAAGCTCAGCGAGGAAGACACGGCGCCACGTGGACATATCATAAGCAGCTAAAGCGCTATAACGATTCCCAAGCAAATCTGCGACAGCGACGAGGAGACGGTTCCTGTCGCGGTCGATAACGATTCCTAGTGAAGCGTTTCCGGCGAGGTCAACGTCTTTGACCAAAGTGACTTCCTTGAGAACGTCGCTGTTGCCGTCGGAAGGAACGACCTCTCCGATTCCGCCTCCGTCCATGAAAGAGACGAGGAATCTCCGACCAACGTCGTCCCATTTAGCGCACTCCCGGAAGAAGCCAGAGCTCTGGTAAGAGAACACGTGCGTGGAGGGAACGGCTCGCTCGAGGGAAATGATGTAAGAGATGGGAACGGCGGAGATAACGAGGAAGAGAGCGACGGAGAAATGGCCGGAGGAAAAGGACGGCGACATTTTTGAAAATAAAAAGATAAACGAGAGAACGTTGGAGATTGGGTATATGACGAAGACCGAGACCTTTTAGGACACATAAAGTTGGTGAGCGAGCGAACACGTTCGGTTCGACTTTAGGACAAATTAGTTAAGTGGGACCAGCTATTTGGTGGCCCGTTAAATGTATAATGGGCCCGGGGTAGTGTGTATCTAAAATTCAATACTAATAATTATACAATCCTGAGACTCCTGTTGTACTTTTTTCCTACCAATTTAATGCAAAGACTTTCTGGTTTCTAGGAATGTTAGGATTTGCATTAAAGCTTATTTAGTGATATTAGATAGGATTGTTTGCCCATTTATACTACTAAAGAGAGAAAAACTTCATAACCTTTTTAATTTTATTTTCCAATCTAAGTGGCTAGTGTACTTACCATCCTTGGCAATCATGCTGAATATATGGGCTCAAGTGGGGGCCGCCAAAAGAAAATAAACTCTTTATGTTTCTGATTAATTGTTGTTGTAGCATAAAATTTTTGTTACAAAATATATGTCATTTTATGTTTTCAATACAATTTTTACTATTGTTTTATTTTTTGTATTCTTAATTTAACTAAGATAACAATAAATATTCCTCTCGTATCAATTTAATTGTCGTTTTAGATGTTTTTATACACAGATTAAAAAAATATTTAATTTTACATATTTTCTAGAAAAAAATACAATTACCTATATATATAATCATATTTCAACTAATATAAAAATAGAATAGTAGATTAAGTTAATAAATTTTACATTGAAACCATAAATTGATACTTATTTTGAAATAAAAATTTTACGGTAGAATGACAAATAATTTGAAACGGATGGAGCGCATATATGTTGAATATCAAAATGTCGATGTTGTGTTTAGTTTAATAATGGGCCGGATTAATACGTGAGCCCAATGAGTACGATGGGCGACTATTATTATAGTAGACTTGGTCAGTCTCTTCATTCATTTGTTTCCGTCTTCTTCCTCCGCACTACCTCCGACTTGGTAAATCCATCTGTTTATTGCATTATCCTGGTTTTATGCAGATTATAGATAGGTCCTAATGATATTAGATTTATTCTGATTGCTTTCTCTTCTTATTGAGGCGATCTAAGGGATCCACATTTGAATTTTTGATTAGCTTGACGGGGTTTGTTTAAGAAGTCACTGATTGCCTCAAGAAGAAGATCCATAGACAATTGATATAAAATGTTTAGGATCATAAGAAAACTGTTGTTATTTAGGATTGATCCAAGGTTTTCCATGTTTGATACATAAGATAACATTTGTCTTATCTGAACTGGTTGTGTCTAGCTCCGCTTCCTTAGTGAAGGTTGTAGGGACTACCTATTCATATTTGATCTTTAGGGGGCGATACTATGCTACTATATATCTAATTGACGTTAGCTTTGATTTTTGATGCAGAAAATATATCCACTTTTTCTATATACGAGTTGGTTGTGAATTGCATTTCTTGCTTTGGTGTATTGAAGGTTGTAGAGACTGACTGCTAGATTCATGTTTGATCTATTTCTTTTGGGTTTGTGTGTGTCTCAGTTTTATTATAGGCTGAGAAGAAGAAAAAGAAGAGATGGCAGGACACAGGGTTGCACATGCCACACTGAAAGGGCCTAGTGTTGTGAAGGAGTTGATTATTGGTATGGCACTCGGTTTAGCTGCTGGTGGTCTTTGGAAGATGCACCACTGGAATGAGCAGAGGAAAACCAGAGCTTTCTATGACTTGCTTGAGAGAGGTGAGATCAGTGTTATCGCTGCTGCTGAAGAGTAACAAAGACAAAGAATCAAAGATGGATGATTTTGATTTCTGCTTTTTTATGTTTCTTCATAGCTCTCCACTTGGTATTTGGGATTTTTGCGAGTAATAAACAAATGTGAGACTGGATTTATTTGATTCATACACAAATGCTGTATATGTTGATGATTCATCAAAACATTATCTCTTTGTTTTCTTTTTATTTGAGGAACTTCAAAAGAATTGTTCAAAACTTATTGATGGAAATATTATTAAGTCACTCGACAGAGTGTCTTCACATAATACCTCTTTGTTGGCATTGTTATGAATCCGAATGTTTGATAAGTTATCATTCTAGATTTTTACACAGATTAAGAAAACACAATCATAAACAGAGACAAATGTCATGTTGATTCCTGAGACATTCTCTCTCTCTTTTTTTACTTTAAAGTAAGGTTAATTATCGTTGAAACTTTATTCATGGAAATCTTAAGTCACTCAACAGAGTGCGTTTTCAACACCTTTTCGTTGGCATTTGTTATATGAATAAGAATGTTTTACGAAAAACAATATAAAAAAAAAGGTTTGTGTTGCATCTGCCACTCATGTGTTCCACTGTTTCGCAAGTGCATTAGAAGAATGCTGTATCTGCCTTTGGAAACCAAACCTGGCACAGCGACTCTGACGAAAGCATAAACAGAAAATTCAGAAAACTTGAATCAGCTAATCATACGTGAGAAATCTTGTTGTTGTTTTTTACCAGAGAAGTGATCTCGTAAGCTTGGAGTGACCTTCAAACTCCGGATTTCCACCTCCTCCTGTGGCAGTGACTACCTTGTCTGCAGAATCTGATCCTTCTTTGGACTGGTCTGGACTTGAGTCTGCATCTGATGTGTTCGGAACACAGTATTTTTGAAGCCAGCGGTCAGTTTCCCAAAGAACGTGCATAATGCTCTCCCGTGCTGAGTACCCATGGCTCTCGTGAGGAAGTATCACAAGGCGGCAAAGAGCGCCATGGCCTTTCAGTGCGTTGAAGAATCTGTCCGACTGTTATAACAAAGTATATGAAAATGAATATAGTTAAGAGAGAACCAATGCAGAAAAAAAATTGGTGTGGATTTCTATTGAAGTTAATTATAACCTGCATTGTTAGAGTTCCTGGGTTATTATCTTCTTCACCATGGATGAGCAAGATTGGCTTCTTGATTTTATTAGCAGACATGAATGGACTCATCTCGACATAGACGTTAGTAGCTTCCCACAATGTTCGGTCCTCATTCTGAAAATTTGCAGGCGTTGTTACCAGAGTTGAGTCAATATCTATCTGTAAGCAGAGAATGAGACTAGAAAGAAAATGGTTATGGCGGCACCTGGAAACCGAATGGAGTGAGTGTTCTGTTGTAAGCACCAGATCGAGCTATTCCGCAGGAGAAAAGATGAGGAGCATGAGCAAGGAGATTTGCAGTCATAAACGCTCCATACGAGTGTCCCCCAACAGCAATTTTGCTTGGATGAGCCACCTAAAAAAATGGAGGACCAAGAAAATACTAAGCTTTGAGGACTATGATACAATCGTAGGATCAAATGATGCTTACTCCACGCCTGACGACTTCATCTACAGCAGCCTCGGCACTTGCAATCAATTGCTCTACATACCTACACATGGTGTTTCAGTTGTTAACATCAGAACCTGTCAAACTCATGCACATTTCAGATCTAAAATTAAGTGGTTTTCTTTTATTTTTCAAGTATGTCAGTGACTTTCATTGAATTTAATCTGCTTTTGCTTGCAGAACACTTTGCCAATTGAAACGACAATGGTTTAGCCACCAGCTTGTCGAAAGTAAATGTCAAAATACCTATCATTAGCCTCTTCATCCCCTTCACCAATTATAGGTATAGTAGGTCCGGATAATATAGCGAACCTGCACAATGCAAAAGAACCCATATGGTTTAAGCTAACAGTAGATCAACTAGCTCAACAAAATAGACTCCAAGAGACTTAAACAGTAAAGAATTGGAGAATGTTTGTTACCTTCTAGCAAGCCAAAGAAGGGCAGAAGTTGAACCAATGCCTGCAAATTCATTCGGAGAGCCACGGACTTGACTAGCAGCATCTTTGCTCTTGAATTCACCAGGATAAGACCAAAACAGACAAGGCAGAGGACCATCCTTTGATGGATCATAGCCTGGTGGTAGGTATAATGTTGCAGTAAGTTGAACCCCATCTTTTCGTTGATACCTGATCATCTCTTTCTGCAACGAAGCCAACTGTGGATAAGGATGAGGGAAGTTTGTAATCTGTTGCACTTTCCTGTCAGGCCAAAGTTGGAGAGAATATTGGGTGTTCTCAGTTTTCGACTCTTTTGAAGTCAGAATCTTCAGCTCCTCCATTCTCAAATCCCCTTCTTTCTGATCAGACATCAAAGCCACAACCGTTTCAAAATACTTTTCCTTGTCACTCTCCCAGATCCGCTCTTTGTTACCTGTGTTTCTAGATAAATTTTGTAGAAAACATACCACAGTTTGTTACCACATTATGCCAATACCAAGAGAGAAAATGCATGAAAGAGAAGCCCTTTTCAGGTCAACCAAGCAAAGGCTTACATGTCAAACAAGTCAAGGAAGGGTACATTCCCTTGTGGCGTAGCCCCACTTCCGTTCAGTAAGACATAAGTGCCTTCATCGTTTTCCTTCATTATCTTTGCTATTACATACGTTCCCGCAGCGGTTCTCCTGAGCATGGTTGAGCCAGGGTCTGAGTACACATCTTCTGATGATCTATCAAACAAGATGCGTGGACTAACATCTTTAGATCCAGGAGAGATAACCCACGTCCTTGTCCGTCGTGTTTTATACCATGATTCATAAACCAAAGCTAATGTATCATCACACCAAGAAATTCCTCTGCAGAAATAAATCAGATCACTGTTAGTATATAGAAGACCTCCATGAAGTTAGAGATGGCATTTATAATCTACAACGTCTGCTGCGTTTTCAGTATTTACCCATAGCGAAGATCAAGCTTGTGCAAAACTTCTGGTTCTTCTCCTGCCAGTGGTTCCGCAGACTGCATATAAACTATATCACGCGGTGAAACTTCCACTTTAGCATCACCTCCGTCTTGTGTTTCTGCCCTATAAACCAGAGGAGTTGTCCATGAATTATTATTGAAGCGCATATTGGAACATGAACAACATGATGCAAATCACTTGGTATCTCAAATATATATACCAGTAGAGTGTCGACGGCTTGTCTGCTCGCCAATTTATTGAGCGCATTCCTTTGCGCACACTATTAGAGGCAATGGGGATATCTTCTGCTAGGGGCAAGTCACATAGCTGTCTTACAAATTTACCATCAGCTGTCCAGACTTCCACCTTCTTAGGAAATCTACCACATGGTACAATGAAGGAATACGGCCTGTGAAGTGAAGAAACCAACAAGTACTTATGGTCTGTGGAAGGGTCCAACGACGTATATACTGCAGGTGGGCCAACTTCCTTCGATGTACCATCCAAAGAAGCCAGTACTAGTTGTGACGTGGCATAGTAGTCGAACAAATCAGCATCATATTCATCCTTAAGCAAATCCTGGAATGTTCTAACTTGGACAACATCACTCTTCTCGTTAGAGAGAGTTTTGGGACCAGGCGGGACTAAGGGCTTCTTTGGTGGATCTCCACGAGATGAAGGGATTGTGCTCACCAACAAAGTGGAATCATCAATCCAAACAAAACTCTCGAAAATGGCATTCAGATAAATCTCTTGCGACTTAAAGAGTGGTCTAGCTTCTCCAGTCTCAACATCAGCAACCCATACAACAGGCTTACTAGTGTTTCCATTCTCATCGACCCGGATACTGAAAGCCAGATGCTTACCATCATTAGACCAAGTGACAAAGTTAATCTTACCACCGTCTGGGATGCCAGTGATCTCCTTCTCAGGACTCAAAGTACCATCAGGGAGTAGCTGATGGATGCCTAAACCGGTATAGAAAGACATCCTGCTTCTGGTGTTGCAGTGTCCATCAATTCGAACACCAGCAAGCTTCAGCTCAGGTCTGGCTAAATCAGCCAAGGGAGGGAGAGCTCTTCGCTTGAGAAACAAGATCTTATCCCTGTGTGGTGAAAATGACAATGCGGGGACTGGTGGAGCATCGACTATATCTCTGATCTCTGGTGGAGGAAGGCGATAACCAGTGCCTAAAGCCAATTCTACATAAGTTCGTTCAAACAAAAACAAACTTATTTAAATATCACATAAGCAAGGATCGGAGAGTTCGATTTCAGTAACAACTAACAAACTAAATACAACACAAATCCAAATCCAAATTCTACGTATCTCTCTCACTACACAGTTCGATTTCAGTAACTAGTATAATCCAAATTCAAGTTTCATTTCAAATTCTACATGACGATCGATTGAATCGAACAAAATTGGCGGAGATTGAGTAACTACCATCATCTTCAGTTGCCGTAGCAGCGGAGAGTGAGGCAGAGCCGTTAGATCTGCTGTCTTCTCCACTTCCGGGACATAGAGAAGCGAGGCAGCGAAGCCTAGAAGAAGTCATGACAGTGGTCAAAGAGTTTCCGGAGAGCCGTCGGTGAGTACGCAGCGTCGAGAATCCGGAAAGCTTGGGAGGTAGAAAAAGGAGAGAAGAAGGCGGAGACGGCGGAGATATAACGCAGAGAGGCGATAGTGACACACGACGACAAGTTCTATGTAACCTTATCATCATCCCTCTCTTTTATTTGACCTTTTTAAAAAAAAAATGCGATATTCGGATATGTATTCCCCCGTATTTTATTCGACGGTTGTAATATCATAACCGATCAAATCACGAAAATATCGATAATGCGTTTCCAAATACGATAAGTGAGCTGAGCCTCGATTATGGCCCAACTTAATGATTCTTTTCTAGATTAAAGTGTAAAAAATCTAAATACACGTGGCGTAATATGATTGGTTATTAGGAGATAAGAGGATGGTGTTCACAGAGTTAAAACAGGAACCGAGAGCAAACAGTGTTATTATTATCTTCTTCTCTTTGCATCAAAGGTTGTTCTCTCCTCCATCCAATCCAACGATGACAACCGTAGCTGCAACCGGTCTCAACGTCGCGACTCCACGAGCGTTCGTTCGACCGGCGGCTCGTTTATCCGCCCCGGTTCGCTTGAACTACCCGTGGAAATTCAGTTCGATGAAACGGATGGTTAAGTTGTCGGTTAAGGCGACACCGGAAGGAGAGATATCGGAGAAGGTGGAGAAGAGTATTCAGGAAGCGAAGGAGACTTGCGCTGACGATCCGGTGAGCGGAGAGTGTGTGGCAGCGTGGGACGAGGTGGAGGAGCTGAGTGCAGCGGCGAGTCATGCAAGGGACAAGAAGAAGGCTGGTGGATCAGATCCTTTGGAAGAATACTGCAGTGATAATCCTGAGACTGATGAGTGTCGTACCTATGATAATTGAAACATGTTTTTTTTTTGTCTGAAAATTTAGGTACTGCTTGGTTGATCTTTCTTTCTTGTTGTTGTCGTCGTGTTTGGTTTGTTTGGTGTTGTAATGTGATAATGAATATTATTATGGATACACATGAGTTGTTTCATAGTTTTCAAATATTAGGTTATTGAGAGATTTGTAGAACATACAAGAAAGACTGTAAGAATGATTATCCATGTGTTGAAGTTGGAATATATGGTTCATCAATTTTTGTCTTGGACTCATATAGTTCTATAATCAACTCATGTTGGACTCTTGAAGACTCGAGTGATCTCTCCATAAAACTTAAATAGATTGTTGCATTTGGACCAAAACTAATCGTATCTATTATTGCATTTAGCGGATACAAAATCTGAAGATCAAGTGATGGTTCCAAAACTTGAAATGTTTGACTGTATAAGTGAAAAAATGCAATTGTGTTTATATTTTCCATTGATGTATGCTAAAGATAATGTATCAACACTTGTGGGTTTTCTTAAGCATGGGCCTATCTCTGTATACATAACTCCTAACCACTAAGAAAAAAAAAGTAATGAGCTCAATGTAGAAACAAATGAAAATAACGGACGAATCATATAAAATGTGAAAACGTATAAATAGAAACGCGGGCTCAAAATTAAAACACTAAAACCCTAATCTTATCTCTGTCTGAACCAAGGCGAGTGTCGGCGCAGCTTAGAGAGAATCCAAAACCGAGAGACAATGGCAGGAGGGAAGATAAGGAAGGAGAAGCCAAAGGCACCGTCAAACAATTACCAAGGAGGTATCTCCTTCCACAAATCGAAAGGACAACATATCCTCAAGAACCCTCTCCTCGTTGACTCAATCGTCCAGAAAGCAGGGATCAAGAGCACCGATGTGATCCTCGAGATCGGTCCTGGTACTGGTAACTTGACTAAGAAGCTTCTAGAAGCTGGTAAAGAAGTCATCGCCGTCGAACTCGATTCTCGTATGGTTCTCGAGCTTCAACGCCGTTTCCAAGGAACTCCCCTTTCTCACCGCTTGAAGGTAACCAAAAAACAAAAAACTTCTATCAAAACTCTTAGCTTTAGTGTCGTTTTAACATTAGAGATTCAAAGCTCTAAGCTTTTATTTAGTGTTGTAATTGTGAAAGTTAAAACATAGTTAAACATTGCTGATGAGTTGTTGTTTATTGTGTATTAATAAAGGTGATTCAAGGAGATGTGTTAAAGACTGAGCTTCCACGGTTTGACATATGTGTGGCCAACATTCCGTATCAGATATCATCTCCTCTTACATTCAAGCTTCTCTTTCACCCTACAAGCTTCAGGTGCGCTGTGATCATGTACCAGAGAGAGTTCGCTATGAGACTCGTTGCTCAACCTGGAGATAACCTTTACTGTCGTCTATCTGTTAACACTCAGCTTTATGCTAGAGTCTCCCACCTTCTCAAAGTCGGTAAAAACAACTTCCGTCCACCTCCCAAGGTCGATTCTTCTGTTGTCAGGATCGAGCCGAGGAAGCCACAGCCTCAGGTTAACAAGAAGGAGTGGGATGGGTTCTTGAGAGTCTGTTTTATTAGGAAGAACAAGACTTTGGGAGCAATTTTCAAGCAGAAGTCTGTTATTTCTATGCTGGAGAAGAACTTCAAGACTCTGCAGGCGGTGTTAGCTTCGTTGAATGGCGGCTCTACAGGAGAAGCTGCTACTGCTGCTATGGATGTAGGTGACATGAGCATGGGAATGGAAGATGATGACAATGAGATGGATGATGATGATGAGGATATGGATATGGAGGAAGGACAAGGAGGAGGAGGAGGAGAGTTTAAGGAGAAAGTTATGAATGTGTTGAAGGAAGGTGGTTTTGAGGAGAAGAGGTCTTCAAAGCTTTCACAACAAGAGTTTTTGTATCTTCTTTCCTTATTCAACAAGTCTGGTATTCACTTTTCTTAAAGTTGTTTTTGTCCCTTTCTGTTTCGAAAATGTACCCTGTCTTTATTGAATACTATGGAGTCTTGCTTTGAGTTTACAAAGAAATGATAAAATTGATTTTAAGTTATTAGACTAAATCTTTATATTCTACTATCTTTTGAACCAAAATATATAACTGCGGTATGAATCTTCATTATACTTGCTTGATATTGTCATTTTACTAACCTTTCTGTATGCATGGAACTGAAAACCAAATATGGTATTAGCAGTAGTAACACTAAATTGTCAGCAAATACACATGTCCTCCTCCTATCTATAGTTACAAACAACTACTCAACAGTTGCATGTACAGTAGTCCTCTTGCTTTCGATATCTCTGATGATCTTCCTAAGTTGGTCCTGATTCATGTCTTTCTCTAAGAAAGCATCCATTCCAGCATCTATGGTAGCTTCTGCTTCGTTTGAGCCAAGAGCATGTCCTGATACAGCTATAATTGGTATATGCACACCGTATTTGCTCTCCACTTTTCTAATCTCTCTGGTTGCTTCACATCCATCCATCTCTGGCATCTGTGCACAAAGATATATAATATATTCATTTATTTATTTTACCTGGCAGTGAACCAATTTTATATATCAATTAAGATTTTACCTGGCAGTCCATGAAAATGTAGTCAAACGGAAGCATTTGTGTTGAACCTCTTTGTGTTAGCCCTTCACTGACTAATCTCACAGCTTCTTTTCCGTTGTTGCATTGTCTGACCTCTGACACTCCCATATTCTTCAGCTTCATTGTTGCAACTGTACATGTTATACGATTGTCATCAACCACCATAACTCTTTTTCCTTTCAACAGTGCATTGGATGTTACTCGCTCCTCCTCCGAGCTCCCAACAGGCTTTGGAATAGTACGTACTGACTTGCCTGGTTTTTTGTTATACCTTGATGAGCTCGCTTCGTCTTCTTCTTCTTCTACTTCTTCGATCTCACAACTCGTAGTACCCTTTGGTGATGTCGTAGCTGCTACTGCAACAAGAGTATGTCGTCTCAGTAGTGATGCTTCTCTTTGCAGCTCTTCTTTTGGAACGATTCCTCCAAGTTCAGGTAACATCTTCAGCACTCGGCTTAGACGTGATCCATGCATAGGCTTCAAACAACAAACGTCCCCTCTCTCACTTCCACGGCCTGGAGGTTCGTTAAGCCAAACAACTTTACAGACTATCCCATGGTGCAAGCTTCTAAGAAACTGTTCAACAATGTCGTCCATCTCAGGAAACGGTCCTGCATGTGCATCAATCATCAGAAGGACGAATGCAGAGAAACTAGTGCTTCTCCTTCTAGGAGCTTGACTTCTGGAATCAACACCATCCGTTCCAATCAAAGGCAACTCCCTCGAGCTCGTACTTGATAACTCTGTTCTTCCCATGGAACTCTGTGGTGAGAACCCAAAGAGTCTCTCCAAGGCCTGACTCAGATGCTCCCATTTTTCAACCACTGTGACTTTGATACCAAGAGTCTTTATGCTCTTCTCTGTTACTCTTCTGCGTTCTTCGTCTTTGATAAGGAGAACTACTCGAGAAGCTTCCTGCTTCGGACTGGAGCTGGAGCTGAGACAAGTGTTGAATCTAGGGCTCAGGTGGTGACGTATGTTCATGCTACTACCTCCCAAAGAAGTAGTGTTTATAGTCAGGCCAGGGTTTGGCGTGGATATCACGTAATCTCCTCCTCCTCCTGCTTCAATGTCCTCTCTAACTTTCATGTCAGGAGTGTCTGAGGTTGTCAACAAAACATTGAACTGGAAAGAAGTTCCCTTCTCTCCCATGGCCTTGTCAGTGATTCTGATCTCTCCTCCCATTAATCTCACAAGAGACTGCACAATCCCAAGTCCTAGACCAGTGCCTTGTTGTCCCTGTGCTGTTTCTCTCACCTGAACATAGTTTTCAAACACTGACTTACGCATCTCCACAGGTACCCCTTTCCCTGTGTCGTCCACTTCAAACACAAACTCCATCGTGTTCGGATTGTTTCTTAGCGAGTTTGATATCTCCATCTCATAGGTTGATGATGAAGAAGACTGGTCTTTGTTCATGCACAACGTAAACTTTGAAAAGATTGATACAACTCTGCCTTTAGGTTTCGATGCCAAGACAACAGAGCTCTTTGAACCTGGTTTCTGAGCCCAAGCTCTGATCGAAATGTGCCCTTCCACTGTGAACTTGACCGCATTGCTCACAAGATTGTTCAGTATCTGCTTGAGCTTGCCACTATCTCCTCTAACATTCGAGGATTTTAAGATGGAGCCGTCGTGAAGATCCAAAACCACGTCAACCTTTTTCTTCATCGCCAAAGGATGGAAGAAGTCAACCACGTCTTCAAGAAGCTGGACTAGGTTGAACTCTTCTTCCTCTAACTGCATCTTCCCGCTTTCGATTTTGCTCATGTCCAACACAGAGTTAAGCAGACCTGTTACAAACAAAACAACATAACATGTCAAGAAGGCTTGTTACAAAACGCATAACAGAGAAAGCTTAAAAAGACATCTTACCAACGAGATCCTTTGTGCATACATTCATTTGCTGAAGACTAGCGTCTACTTCAGAGCCAGGTTTAACTTCTTGACGACAGAGATCAATCAGACCGGTGATCCCTGCAAGGGAACCTCTAATGTCGTGGCTAGCTTGTGCAAACGCTTGACTCTTGTTCATGCTCTTCCTCTCAGCTTGCTGTGTTGCTTCCATTTGGTTTATCAGCGATGAACGCATATCCATATCTTTTCTTGTTGCTCTTACCATAAACAAAACAAACACTGTTGGCCAGCAAAAGCCATATAAGACCATCAAAATAAGCATATACTTTGCCGCGTTTTTTATTCCACCTCCTTTGTTCGCAAACATGAGTGTGTAAGTCTGATATATATTAAAAAGAAAAAAAGAACATTAGAAGTGAAGAATCAATCTATGTCACAGAAGATGATATAAACACTTACCAGAGGCACGCCAGAAACTTCAAGAACAGAGCAATAAGCTTCGAATTTTGATCTTTTGAAGCAAATGGAGCCATTTGAGATGATGAAGGAAGAAGCATTCAGTGAACCTTCACGAACAAGCACAGTTCCGTCCTTGGTCCACATGTAAACCTCTCCACCGTGAAGATTCAAACGGTTCAATGCACTGGTTAAATATTTAACCGGAAACCCTAACGAAACAACACCTTTCTTGCTGTCCAAGCTAACTACTCTCTCAAAAAGAGTCTCGTTATCTTCTCCTCCCAAACCAGTACCCACAAAGGCTGTAGTGTGATCTCTCTGTGCTGCTTGGAACCAATCTGTATGGGTTAAATCCAACGGCTGAGATCTCGTTGCATCACCGATGAGACGACCGGTTCTCTGATCAATGGATTGAGTGTACCAAGTGTAGTCTCCACCACTTGAATTGGCAAAAACTGCGAAACTTGTGTTGAGTCCTGTCATGTAAGAAAACAAGAGACCGTCTGTACTAATGTACGATACTTGTGAGACTTGAGGGATCGTTGAGTAAGCTTGAAACAACACCGGTGCGATCTGTTAAATTACAATACCAACAAACAACAACAGTTATGTATACTGAAAAAAAAACAGCATCGTTTATATGTAATAATTATAGTTATTAAACAGTAGTAATCAATTTAGTGAACAACCTGTGTTTGAATCTCAGTGAACTGTGTGTTGTTGTTGGTGATATAAGAGTCTATAACTCTGGCTAAACTGATTGTAGATGAGTTCGTCTTTGGATAGATGAATTCTCCGATGTTTTCTATTTCAGAAACTAGACTTGATCGGAGATCTTTGGTGAGTGAATCGACGTTGTTCGTTATGCTCGTCATTGCTATACCCCATATCACGATCGGTATGGTCCCAAAAACAACAACCTATAAAAAAAGTTGTTAGTGAACAACCCGAAAATATTTATGAATATATACATGCAAATACGACATTTAGATAATGATTATAGGTTAACGATTCTCGTATAGTGTTATTGATTTTTCTGTGCCGAATGGATCATATAGAATCAGGAATTTTTTTATATCACGTATAAACCCTAAAAGCACGGCAAAAGAATAACATACGAAACGAAACAATCACGTAAAAACCCTAAAAGCACGGCAAAAGCAAAACATAGACTATCATCTTATTGCTAATCAAGATTAAGAGCTAAAATAAAGTCAAATCATCATATGAACGCAAAACACTACCAAATAACCAAAAGAAACTATGATAAAAGTAAATTTAAAGATACAAAAGAACAAAATACCAAGAGGATGAGGCTGACTAATGGACGAGAAGTCACAAACTTTGTAACTTTCACCATCACTTCTGTAGATTTGAAGATCCCCAAAACAAAACCAAGAAAAATCAAATTAATTAATAGGTGTATCTCTTTATACTTTAGTTACTTTGATTCTCAAGATCCTTTCCTATATATATTTTCTTACAGAAATTTGGCAAAACAATATATAACTTTCTCATTAAGAATAATTAGTTGCCAATAAAGTACCATTCTTAATCGTGTTTCAAAGACGTTAAAGTACGTACTCAGTTCTGAAAACCCTAGCAAAGTGCTAATCTCTTTCAGTGTCTCCTGCTAGTAGCTACTAATCTTTGTAACTAAAAAAGAGGATTTTTACTTCTTAGTGTTGATAAAAAAAAAAGAAAAGAGGATATTCACTTGATTTTTTATTCTGTAGTGGATTATTGGGTTAAACTTTTAAACAGTTTTATCCTTCATATTTTTACAAGTATATGTGGACATAGGTAAATATCTATATACACATTCATATATATATATATATATATATATATATATATATGTAGAATAACCATATTTGACAACAAAGAGATATAAAATACCGTAGATTATGGAGATCTCCACCATATAAATTAATATCCTACTAAATTTAAATACAGTAACACAATATTGTGAACATGTATAAATATTATATTGTCTACTACAAAGGAAGAACGAAGCTTAGTACAAACAAATCATCATAATAAATAAAAGCATATCTCATTTGCGGAATCAATCTCAGGCATTAGCTACTAGGATTTAAGTTTTAACAATATATCTCAAGCAATTGAAAGTACATGTAATCGTTTTACACAAAAATCATTGATTTAAACCTTAGATGACACGAAAATGGGTTATCTTTGTGGCTAATAAAACAATATAACCTTTGAGAAACTGCAATGTGACATGGAGTGAATTATGAATAGAAGATGAAAGTGTTGACATTCTTTATAATATTCTTGTGTATAACATTTGATGCATATATGCAATTGTTTATATATTATATATATATATATATATGTAATAAATCAAGAAGGCTGACTTTTGATTTATGGAACTCGACAAATTTAATTTAGGTTTGATATTTCATCTAGTAAAGACAAAGTATATTAGATAAATAAAAGTTTTGGAATAATGGAAAATTAAATTAAATTTTTTAAAATAATTACAAAACATATAGAGTTAAACATTTATAGTAATCATGTTTGTAATAAAGTAGTTTTATTTTAGCATAATTTATGGTGCATAAAATATTTTTTATTAGAAGATATAAATAATGATTTATACATATCAATATATCTGTCCAATAAAATTAATAATAGACTAATATTAGTCTTTCATTTTGTATTAGTAATAAATTAAAATATTTAAATTTAACTCAATTAATAATCTTGTAGAAAAGTTTGAATAAAAACGATAATCTCTCAATTACTAAAGAGGAATAAGATAATATAATATCAATATTTTTTTTTGCAAAATTAATGATTCTTTTAAAAAAATTGAATAAGAAAGATAATCTATGAATTACTAAAGATGAACAAGAAGATATAATATCAATAAATTTTATGCTTTCAGACAAAAGAAAAAAATTGTTTTCCCTTTTATCTATTTCTATCTCTTTTTAAAAACAAATTTTTTTGGCATAATGATATAATTATTCAAAAATTTAAAATGTTCAGAAAACTGAAACGACAAAATATTTATTAAACTAATTATATTTTATCTAAAATCTTTATAGAATATCTATAGACTGAAAGTTAATCTATTTAAATCTAGCTTTGGAGTAAATTTTATTTTAATTTGGAAACCTTCTAAAAATTCGTCGTAAAATTATATTGCATTATCTTGACTTAAAATATGATATAGATTTTATAATTTACACAAAACCTATGAATTAATGTCCAACAGTATCACGATAAATTATTATATTGTTAGCGTCGAGCTTGCTCCCGGAAGTAATAGCATAAACTCTTAAATTTACTATAATCGTTTGGTTGAAAAAATAAACTCTATTGGAATATAAGTTTTGGTTTGCATGTTTTCTAATTTTGAGATTTCATAATGAACCAATGATAACTATTTTGATTAAGAAAGCCCGGTTTGTGTTTTATATATATATATGTAAGAATGCGTCTTTTTATTAAAAAAAAAAGTCCGGTTTGTGTTTTTTCCAAAAACACGAGAATTTCATAAAGAGGGACAGAATCTTGGTTCGTTCTTTGTTAGTTTTGTAAAGAAAAACTCTTTCCTAGCCATCACCACAGCACTCAAACCCAGATAGAACGTTGGAATCTACAATACATGTTCCCTGAGAAAAAAAAAACTGAGGTTTTTAGACATTTTAATGAAATATTTATAATGCTAGAAATACTTCTATTCTACTATCACAATTTTAAAAGAGTTCAGATTATTTTAATAACTAATTGTTTTAATATTATATGATTAAAACAAATAAGATGAAATTGCACTGAATATAATACACAACTTACGTCTTTATAAATCAAATAAAAAATTGAAAATTTCAATTTTCGTAAGTAAGAGGGAATACAAATATACTATTTGAAGACGATGGGTTAAACTGTGTATATAAATATAGAAATAAAAAAAAAAGATAAATAGTATTATAGGTCAAATATAATTGGATTAAGAAATTTTTTTTTTTTGAATTTTTTTACATAAGGCAATTATTTTGCTGTTTGGAGTTCCGTTTAGGCCAAGGGTGATCTTAATATGTCTTGGACCAGATTCGAGCCAAAAGTTTTTAGTCCCAATCTTTATCTAGACACTACAAAGTGGGGCTAATGTATGAGTGTACCATGTGAAATGTGTTTTGACATACTCACAAATCTATGTCCTACGTAGAGCGCATTGAGGACCATCCACTTATGTGATATGCATGTGAGTCTCTATTGTTGCATGATCCTTATGCTTCAAGTGTCCCACTCTTAATAAAACACATTCGAAGTCTAATTCCTAAACGCTAATCCTAACCGCCAAAGACAGTGCATATTAGCGGCTGCTACTATTAAGATAAGATTATGTCCTGTGATGAGAGAAAAGCCCATGACATAAAACTATATCAAAATCTGTGAATTCAAGACTTTTGTTCACATGTTTTCCCAATTATTGCCATTCGCTTTTTATCTTTGCTTTCAAGTCCAGAGTACACCTTTGGATCGATATTCCATAACTACAAAATAAATCATTTTTGATATTCCGATATATTTTCTTCACTTATTTATTTTTATTTATTTCCGCTCAGTTCTTATTGCATTATTTACAACTTTTCAGCAAAGCATTGCCAAGCTGGTACCTGAACCTTTTTTGATGTCTTCTTTTACTTCTTTTTTTCTTTCTTGAAACTAATTACATCTATGATATATTCTAGTCTCTAAGTAAGAAAACCAAAATATAAATAATGATATTTTCAAAATATAAATAATGATATTTTGAAAATACAAATAATGATATTTTCAAAATATAAATAATGATATTTTCAATATATAAATAATGATATTTTCAATATATAAATAATGATATTTTATTAATGACGTCAAAACAAATTAACTAACTGTAAGAATCATATGTATTTGTTTCAGAGGTTTGATCTACATTTTAGTAGAATCATTCAACGTCAATGTCAGTATATATTTTTATATAGTATTGTAAATCAAATCTAAACAACCTCGTTTTCATAACCAACTATCTATTTCAAAATAAACGAATAAAACAAAGCACATATTGCTTAACGTATAGATCAAAAAAGCTTTAAAAACAGAGGGAAAAGAAGAAATCGAAAATTTTAATATTACTAATTTGTGAAAAAAATCAGGGCTTTTTGTGGAATAGCACATGGGATAACTCATTTCCACGTGAAACCTAATCCGTGAACACGTGCCTTTCCGCAGAGGTCTCTCTGACTTATTTTGATAACTAGTTCAGTTCGAGCAGATAGAGAGAAGAGTACCAAAATAACTAAAAACAAAAAATTCAAAATACAAAGAGGTCTAAATTGTGTGAATTTGGGCGTTCTTGGTTTGATGCCCAACGTAAACAGCCTTTGTTTTTAGTAGTAATAAATTACAAAATAATGACGTTTGCATTTTTTATTATGATATTTAACTATGTTTGATTAAAAAGAGTAATCATTCGGACACTTATTTTGTTCTATCTAAAACCCATGTCTTGGGATATGATTCCGTTTGCAGCACCCAAATTATATACAATAATTATGAACTGTAAGCCCATTTGAAAAAATAATGTGTACGAGTAGTTTGGAACCATGCAAAGAATGGTATCACCATACATATTGTTTATGAGTGTGAGATAATTGGATATTTATTTTATGAAATGTTTCGTTAGAGCTCCATATAATATCACTATTTTACTCTATGGGAATTATCTTTTTATCAGAGACATACGCACCATTCTTATATGAATCATGCAAGGATCAAATCCATATACATAGTGAAAGATGAAATAAGTATCACGAAATTTGAGAGTTTAGGCGAAAAAAGAAAGAGAGTATATTTAATATATATATATATATATATATATATATATATATATATATATATATATATATATATATATGATTTAGGATTTGAGCAGCTGTTTTTGTTTGGTCTTAAGCTCACAAGTCACAACGAAATAGTTACGCATGGATAATCCAGTGGTACATAAATTTTGGGAAGTTAAGCAACTCGAATTCAGAAAACTCCATGACATTAAACATATGTAGCAATGCAGATATGATACCATTATTTATACATCAATTAAATATCAGAATAGTGAATCGATTGGTGGACTACACTTCTTTTTAAAAATTGCTTTGGATTATTCTATAAATCCGGATATCTCACATTAAAAAGAAACTTACAACAAAACTCAAATTAGGGATAACTATACCACAGATAGTAGAAGAAGCTACTGAACCCTGCTCAAATTAGAGATAGTCACATTTACTTGTTTGCTAGATCTTGATAAGGATGCACATGAAAAATTGAACAGATTGATGACACTTTTCTGATTTGATTTTTACTAGTTTTTTCGGACCGTGGTTTACGATCGAATAACCGTAATCAAGTCACTTTGATCTAGTGGTAAGGAACAATAGCTGGAATTTCCACCCTAATTTGAATAGTATTGACCATCCATAAACTCTTTAAATGGCAAAAAAAATATCAAATTTCTATATAGATATGGTGGAATTAGTCTTTAATCTTTAAAAAGATTTTCACGGTTATCAGAAAAAAAATCGAATAACCATAATGATAATAATTAAGTTTTAGCAAACTGCAAGTTCTTTTTAGTTTTTTTTTATCAAATCAAGTTCTTTTTAGTTTTGTGATAGTATATGGGCATCTATGGATGTTTGAAACATTTTAATGAAATTTTGTCATTTCAATTATATGCCTATGTATATGCGTCGATACGTCACTTTGTGCCTCCTTCGATACGAACATGTTTAGAGAATGGGGACCGTTACTTACCTTTAATCAAACCTAATTTTGTATATCTTGTATTTTAAAGCTTTACAACTACTCTGATACTAAAATTAGAGTACTAGTAGTATGCTTAAATGGATTCCCCGTGCTTTACATTTTACTCGAACCATTCTGGCAAAATCTGTGACCACTAGCTTTAAACAGAACGTCTCGATCCATGACAGTGCGGCCAGTGCCTGATATATATACGTATAATATACCCAAATCAACCATATAATCATCCTTTTGTATCTTAGCGTGATTATATAGGTGTAAATAAATACGAGAGGAAGTCGTTCCTGTATTTTTTTTTTTTTTAACACCCAAGTCGTTCCTGTAAAATAATTAAATAACCGTTTTATCTTCTTGTTGTTAGGTTATATTTCTTAAATTCTTATCGAGGAAAATAGAGTTCACAACATAAGCGCTAACTGTCCTTTGACAGAAGAAAAATCCTATGAATGGAAATATGCATTTCTCTATAATCGTTTATTTTTCTTTGAATAGTTTTTGTCAACATCTATTTGATTTTTTTTATTAGAAACTAAATTATTTGATATAATTCAAAGGAAAAAGGAGCTACAACATGTGTTTTTCCACTTCTGCATTTATTTCTTTATGATAAGCCTGTCTTTTTGTTTTTGACATCTTCTTGTTTAATGTTCCACAAGTCCGTCAAGTATATTAGTATATATTATATAATAACGTGGTCTTTTTCAATATTCGTATACAACCATTTGTAATGATAAATTCTTTGTATGACACCTGTGAAAGATTGACCAATATTGAAGTAAGAAAAAAACATTGTAACTAGCATTATAAAAGTTGGATCTCAATTTCAGGAATTTTGGAAAAACACATATACAACATTTTATACTTATAAAGTAGAATGTGTTTTTGTCTTAGTTTATGTATGCTTGTAATTAGAGTTATCAAATTACGGATTGTAGTTTGATAATAAAATTGTATTATGCACATGACCAATTTCTTTTTTAGAATATATCAAAAAAAAAACTTGGCGATATATGGATATGGACCCAATCTTCTTTTCTTGTAGAGCATAATTTGCACCACTTAAATTAAGTCAGCCTCTAATGTAATCTTCTGCAATTATTGCGATGGCCACAGCTCCAATCAGACTAAATTCTACTGCTCCCGCTTTCACCTAATTTTCTCAATATGGTGATTGCAGTTTGATTCTCTTCGTTAATTATAATATTTTAACGACCAATTGTGTGTTTGAATCCATACACAATCCTATGTCATATACTGGTTCTTCAAAAGTATACAGTAGACAAAAATGTCATAAGGCGATTAGAGATTAATATCGAATAAAGATTAGTATAGAGTTTAAGATGGTACATGTACGTGGAAGCATAAGTCATGTATAATTAACACAAATGGTTGCTGGTACTGTGTGTTTCATTCGGATTCAGAATAGCAAAAAACACAGCGGTTTAAGAAACATGATGATTTAGGTAAATGCACATTAAGAGAGTTCGGTTTGCCATATAAGCAATAATGATGTGTGGCAATGCGCAACGCTGATCTGTACATGTACGACTCCTTCAATTCATTGGTTAACCTATAACATGAAAATGACACGTACCGCCATATTAACTGGACAATTCTGATGTGGCAATGTATTTAGTTATTTGATTTGACATATTAATGCATTATTGTCAACAAAAATAAATTGACTAATTTAAACAGAACAACAATTTGAGTGAGGTCCGTATCATATTTGCAGGCAGAGTACGTAATTCCTTTTTAAGCTTAGAATCAATCGACATACTTTTTCTTATATCCAGTCTAATTATCTTGACATAAATAAAAAGGTATTAAAGTAAATATAATAAAGTTTGTGAATAGTTGATTAAAAATAGGAAAGCACGATTCTTGTCTTGCTCCTTACAGCTTGCAAAATATAGTAATTTACGAACCTTTTTCGTTAACACAAATCATAATGTTAGATGCTTAGAGCTTGTTTATAAACTTTACCACTTACCTCTCGAATAATCTACTTAGTTACCGATTTCTCATGTTTTCATGAGCCCATTGAATTTTCTTTGGTCAACTTTTTCTTTTTCTTTTTCTAAGCGCATTGAATTATTTAGTGAGCTAATTCTATTTTTTCTACAGTTTAAATTTTAGATCTTACCACAACCCTAAAACCTAACAAGCACAAGATGGTTGATGACTTGATGGTTAACTAGTTAGATTCCATTTTAGAAATCGAATTTAGCATATAAACAAACTGTTTTTACAAATCAAAGATTAACTTGGCTTTTCATTACATTTTATATAATTAATTAGTACGTAAATTATATATACCGTTTAAACTGTCTTGTTTGAGCACCCATAACAAGCAGGGAATTTTGGTTGCAGAAACTGTAATCTTATTTCGGGGTGTTAATTGAACATTAGTAAACGCTTGAGACACCCACCCAATTAATTAATAGATCATGAAATACAATGAGGGGTGTCCATTGCTTATTAATGTTTATTTATGAAATATTGAAATCTAATGTGTTATATTTTTCATATATCATTGAACTATATAACATGCAAACTATCATGTATCCACTATCTAAGCATTATAACTCGCCACTATATGTACGCAAACATTCACATGGTCAAGACTTAAACGTCCCATTATCAACATTACATGTTCCATTTTTTATTTTCTAAATAAAAAAAAAGAGCGAGTTGAATAAATGATAATAAGTGTTTACAAAAATAAATGATAATAATCGTTATGAGTTCTAAAACAAATGCAATCATTTAGTTCGTCCAATGCTACAGTACTATATACTATATCCATAATACATTAAATTTTGATTATATAAATATACTATTTTATGATTATTTATTTCTCATAATTTTAGTCAAGAGAAAATTAATAAATAGATATATTTTAAAAAAAATTATAGTTTACCATCATTATCTATTAAAAATATAAATATTGTATTTTAAAACAATTTTTGCTTAGAAAATATATCATTTTGAAACAGAATGAGAATGTTTCTTCCAATATGACTGTAACGTAAAGGCCAAAGGGATCAATTAAAGATCATACCAACTAGCAAGTTAGCAACTATTCAAACAAGAATTATAAAAACAAGTCGTACTATAACATATATGTTTTATCTCGGGACAAATATAACATATAACAATACTTGTGTACGACATATGTTTTCCAATGCAACTAGTAAAACACATTGAATTGGTAAAACCTTTTATATATATGAAAATATTATATTTAACGCAATGATATAAACTAAGAAGAAAACCAAGTCAATCACCGCACATAGAAAATAAAATTTGGACGATAAAATTATTGTCCGTATCAAGTATCAAGTTCAAATGGATGCCTTCATAGGTTAAACAAATGGTAATTTTATTATAACGTTAAGAGGGCATTATTTGATTTTTTTTGGTTCAACAAGAAGACATTATTTGATCTTTTTTTTTTTCAAACACAGAAGACATTATTTGATTATTAATCAAACTTGGGGAGAATGACAGTGTGAAATCTAAAAATATGGAAATGTAGAATAATAGAGATTCATTGGAGAGAGAGAGAGAGAGAGAGAGAGGGAGAATATGAAAAAGAGAAATGGTGCCAGCTATGAATTTGAAGGATCAAAGCTTTCTTTCTCTTAAGGCTAAAGGCTGTCATTTCTTTCTCTCTCTTCCTTATAGTGCTCTGTTTCTCTCCACATTCACACACACATACACACTCTCTCTCTCTCTATCTCTCTCTCTAGTTCTCTGTTTCTTTACAATCACTTCTCTTTTCAAATCTTGAGAGGAGGAGAAGCAAAGAATTTTGAGAGGAAACATTAGAAAGCTTCTACGCATTGGACTGTTCTTAATGATTCGAGTCGATTGAACCAAATCAAAAGTTTTTTTTGTTCATTTCCAGAAAAGAACCAATGGCGGTTTATCCTAACGTTAATGGCGATAAAAAACACTGGTGGTTCACTCAAAGAAAGGTAATATAATCTCAAACCCACACTCTAATAATGAGAATCATCAATATTAGATTCTAAGATTTTGACTTTTTTTTTATTTTGTTCTGTTCTATCTCTTAGCTTGTTGATAAGTACATTAAAGACGCAAGGACTTTAATGGCAAGTGAGGAGCTTAATGACGTCACTTCAGCTGTTCATTTACTAGACGCAGCCTTGTCCATATCGCCTCGTCTGGAGACGGCGTTAGAGCTTAAGGCTAGATCTCTTCTCTTCCTCCGTCGTTTTAAAGAAGTCGCCGATATGCTTCAAGATTACATCCCCAGTCTTAAGCTGGCTACTAACGAAGAAGAAGCTTCACCTCCTTCATCTGAAGGCTCCTCCTCCTCATCCTCATCCTCCTCACGCGACGGGGTCAAGCTTCTATCCGACGCTTCCATGCCGGGACGTGAGTCGTCGTTTAAATGCTTCTCTGTTTCTGATTTGACCAAGAAAGTGATGGCAGGGATTTGTAAAAAATGCGACAAAGAAGAGCAATGGAGGTATTATCTCGTAACCAACCGCACTAAAACGCAAACGCTCATTTAAAAAAAACGCTTTCATTTATTTATATAGTTTTTTAAAAAAACGTTGTTTCAGGTACGTTGTGTTGGGGCAAGCTTGTTGCTATCTCGGACTAATGGAGGATGCGATGGTTCTCCTTCAAACCGGCAAACGTCTCGCCTCCGCCGAGTTTCGTCGCCGGAGTATCTGCTGGTCCGACGACAGCTTCACTCTCCTCTCCGAATCCTCATCAACGTCTCCACCACGCAACCTCACAGAGAGCGAGAACTTCACTCACCTCCTCGCTCACATAAAGCTCCTTCTCCGTCGCCGCGCCGCCGCGATCGCCGCACTAGACGCCGGACTTTTCTCCGAGTCGATCCGTCACTTCTCAAAGATCGTCGACGGCCGGCGTCCTGCGCCTCAAGGCTTCCTCGCCGAATGCTATATGCATCGAGCCACCGCGTATAGATCAGCAGGTCGAATCGCGGAGGCGATCGCCGATTGCAACAAAACCTTAGCTCTCGAGCCGTCGTGCATCCAGGCGCTGGAGACTAGAGCCGCGCTTCTAGAGACAGTACGGTGTTATCCGGATTCGCTTCACGATCTTGAGCACTTGAAGCTACTGTACAACACGATTCTACGTGATCGGAAGCTTCCAGGTCCGGCGTGGAAACGCCACAATGTGAAATACAGAGAGATCCCTGGGAAGCTTTGCGTGTTGACCACGAAAACGCAGAAACTGAAGCAGAAGATCGCAAACGGAGAGACTGGAAACGTCGATTATTACGGTTTGATCGGAGTGAGACGCGGTTGTACCAAATCGGAGCTGGATCGAGCTCATCTATTGCTGTGTCTTAGATACAAACCTGATCGAGCCTCGTCTTTCATCGATCGGTGTGAGTTCACGGATCAGAACGAAGTTGATTCGGTTAGGGATCGAGCGAAGATGTCTTCGCTGTTGCTTTACCGTTTGATTCAGAAAGGATACTCCGCTGTGAAGGTCATCATTGCCGAGGAGGCGGAGGCTGCGGAGAAACGGAGAAAGAACGCTGCGGCGGTTCAAGTTCAAACGCCAATGCACAAGGTTGAAGAACAGAGAGCGGTTAAAAAATCCGTTGTGATCAAGATAACCGAGTTTACTGAACCGAAAGCTGTGGAGAAATCTAAGATGACCGAGAATACTGAACCGAAACCGGTTAATTCCAATGCGTACCAAGGAGTTTTCTGTAGAGATCTCGCTGCGGTTGGGAACCTACTAACCCGGGCTGGTTTCAACCATCCGATTCCGGTTAAATATGAAGCTCTCACCTGCTAAAACATTGGACCGATTTCTACCAAGTCAGTGAATAGAGGACGATGTCGTTTTCTCGTTTCTTGACCACTCGTCTCTGAACAGAAAAAGGAAAATCATTCAGCCGTCAGAAGAAAAAGGATAATAAAATATAGTATATGGATGATTAAATATGAAAACGATGTTTAGGTATTGCAATGAAGGTTGATCCACTGCAGGAAAATTTTGTAACGTTACTTATATCTTCAATATTCTAGTCTTTCTTTAAATGTGCATATAAAAGTCAGAGAAGCTCAAATTTTCAGACTTAAGATTAAATTATAGTGAACCAATGGGCGGCAATTGAATACTATTTGGTATAGTTAGGTGTTCACGAGATCTGCCTAGAAACGAGTTGTGAGTCTGACAGACGTTAGTAATATTCGGATGAACCCTATCTACAAAGTTCGGCTTTTATTTAATGCATTAATGGTATTGGGATGATTAGTTTGGCAGACTTACTTACGATTACCGAAACTAAATTAAATAAAATCTGGAGTATCATATACTACATGTTGTATATTAACAATCATTATCTGTAGTAGATGTGTCGTTGGTATTTAATATGAACAACTTAAATTATTTTAAAAATTTGAGGAACTATGAACCTAAACTCATCCATCTCCTCAATGGGTATCGAACCCACTCAATTTAACAAAGGAACTCCAAATTCCAAAACCATATATTATCATAACGTTTTGTTAGGGCATGTCGTAGTGCCATACCCTTAAAACTTAAAAAAAAAAACATTGAGCTTACAAATGGTATTCTATTTCCTAGTTGTTACCAGGCCCGGTCCAGATAGAGGCCCAAAATCATGGGGGCGTCTGGGTCGGAAGTCTTTATTAAACTTAGACTCTTGTTCGTAAACAGAAAATTGTACTTGTAGTCGTTAAGATGCAACTAACTACACTATAAAATATAAATGGAAGCAGCTGGTTGATGAAACTTTGTAAAAATATATATAGCAGGTTTAATGAAGGAGTAGAACAAACAGCACTATATTCTTCGGCGTAGGCATAAAGAGCAAGACATATAACTCATGGAAGGGATCTGGATGAAGTGATGAAGAGAAAGCTTGGCAGGATGATGTTTGTGGTTCCTAAGGTTTTTCATATGGAGACAGCTATACAAAAGGTGACAACATAGACAATCTTCCCAAGATGAATGAGCCTGTATGTTTTAGTTGATACACCTCGTATAACAAATCATTGATACTCTCAACTTTTTACAACGATTTTTCTAACTATAGGGTCTTCATCTATAACAAAGTTTAGTGTTGCATAATAGCTAAGATTTCTTTGTTCTTGGAGATTTTTGGAACTAAATTAACAATTATTGACTCGACTAAATAGTTGTTGGAGCTAATGTTAGTTTGGTTTTGGTATTAATACTAAGAAAACATTGCAGTTGAAAATGAATAGTACAACTATGCAGGTCATTCATAACACTATACGAAACGGCGAATAAATGACAATGGGGAACACGTAGTTAGATGAGCAGTAAACGGGAAACGTATTTTTGTTGGTTGTCCTCATATTTTCGTGTAATATGTTAGATAAGGAAACTTGTAAATTTAATTCTCCAGTGTTTCGATAAGATTCCTTCGAATATAATTGGTAGTCCAGTATTTGTACTGCCAAAGGATATGGTCGACAATGCATCTTAATTAGGTTGTTTGCATGTATATGCTAACCAATGTGACTCTCAGTTTGATTAGGACCAAACACAACAAGTGCACTATCACTTTGTTTCGAGTTCAAATTTAAAATGACCTCCTCCTTTTACATTTTTGTTGATGCATATAGAAAGCAAAAAGGTGATAGTTCTACACGAGGAAGATCAAATCTAGAGTTTTGAGGGGTTTTTTTTTTTGTCTACAATTTCTCTTTTAGTAGGAAAGCGAACTTTTATTTTGCCATTAAGGTAAAAAGTGGGTATTACAACTTGTAGTTTGGACAAGTTAATATAGTGTAATGCAAGGAAACTTTGACATGTATGAATAGTTTGAAATGGTCCCGGTATATCGCTAATGTAAGCTTACACGTAGTTACGAAGGCACACGTGTTATGTAGTTCGAGCAAAGCGTCATAGACCATCTGGTCAACCTCAACGGACCAAGATCCGGATATTTATATAATATTCAGAATATGCGATTACTATCTGATCTACGTATTCACGTGACCATCGACAACAAAATACATCTCTCAGTGTATGCATACACGTACGTACATACACAAAAAAAAAATGATTAACAAATCAAAGAAAACTTTTAAGAAGAAAAAGCGATGACAATAATGATCTCGGCACACACTAGAATTAGCGTCTAAGAGAACCACGACGAGCCTACACGGACCGATCACGACTCTCTCGACGGTGAATAAGCCACGACTTCAGTCTCTTACTACACCAGCGTGGCGTTTTGTGTACCATACACGTGTCATCATCTCTATTACTCTCGAAAGCTCGAGCTCATTAGTCACCTTTTTAATTAATTGACGATCTTTTCGCTATAAATACCAAACCAGTCACTATTCCATCTATTGTCTGTAACACAGTAACTTCTCTTTCTTGTCCTCTCGCTTCCATAGACACACACTCTCTCTCTCCCATTTTCTTGACTTTTGTGGTCAGCGAGAGAATCATAAATATACATATCACCGCCGGAGAAGATGGGAAGAGCGCCATGTTGCGAGAAGGTCGGGATAAAGAGAGGGCGGTGGACAGCGGAGGAAGACCAGATTCTCTCCAGCTACATTCAAACCAACGGTGAAGGCTCTTGGAGATCTCTCCCCAAAAATGCCGGTAATAACATTTATACATTTGTTTTTGTTTTTGTTTTCAAATGGTTGACTACAAATACAACAATACCATGTCACACGAACTTCAATCTACGACACTGTGTTATAGAGAAGAGAAGTAATCGCGGCTCTTTTCGTAGTCTCATGAATCATAGATTGTTAGTTTAATTATATATTAGTATAAGATTAGAGGTTTGATCTCAACACTAATCTCGTCTCAGTTTCATTTCTGTCTTTGGTCATTGGTCAGTGTCACAGTCACAGTCACATTGAGTTGTGAATGCACGTAAATAAAGTGCTGCCAAGAGTAAGCTTTAAACAGTTGGATGTATACACTTTATATAGATATATTGAAGGTATACGGACTAATGTTTATTGAGAAAATGCAAATAGATGCGTATTATTATATATTTATATCTTGTCCTTTGTATATTACTTCAAGAATCAAATCAAATCCATATGACTAATTTTCGATTGATTACCAACTTCGCTTTAAAGACATGATTAATTAATGCAGTTGTTGAGATAATTTGTAATTGTGTATGAATATGATATACGAATACAAGGATCATAATGCTAAAACCTCGTGAGTAGTCATATCATATATCAGACCACATATTTATTTACACAAAATACATTAAATATTTCAAACCTAAACGTGTACTAGAATAAATACCTTCGATGTTTACTTATATTTGAAATCTGACGTGTATTATTATTTTGTTTACAAAGGATTAAAAAGGTGTGGAAAGAGCTGTAGATTGAGATGGGTAAATTATCTTAGATCTGACCTCAGGCGCGGGAACATAACTCAAGAAGAGGAAGAACTCGTTGTCAAAATGCATTCCACTTTGGGAAACAGGTACAAGTTTCCGTTTGCCAATCTATTTTCGGACAATGATTTTTATTCAGCGTATCAAATAATCATATGATTGTTTATCGACCAAATAAGTAAGGCTTAATGTTACTATTATTATTTTGTTGTTAAAGGATATTCCACTAAAATGCCTGTGAATAATAGTATAAGCTATGACTTTTTCATTCGAATTTAGAAAGACATAGCAGGAGATAGAAGTTTGCGTTACACTTAGGAGTAGATGTGATTCTCTCTTTTAGCTTAACTATATTTCGTTGATCTAAGTCAGTAGATTACAGAAGTTCCTTTTAATCGGTTTTATAATGAAATCAGATGAAGAAATACACCATGGTTAAAAAAAAGCAACATAGTAAGGCACTAGGTCCAGTTAAAAAAAAGGCACTAGGCAAGACATAGCATGATTTTCTTCCGGTTATAACAACCCTTGGTTGTCAAAACTTCTTCTCTTTTAGTTGAGACAAATTAAATGTACTCTCTAATAAATGTACAGTTCATATTATTACATAACATTAATTGGATATATATATTTCAAATAAAAGTATTTTGGATTATCATGAAAAATGTAATTTGTCACAGATGTCTTGTCATTATGTGATTTCAAAGTTTTTAGTCATCTTATTGTTAACAAGCTCTCTATGATGGGTAAATACTAGAATAAATAGAAGTAATTAAAGTAGAGTAAAAAGGAGAAAAAGTTTCAAAGTAAACAAATAAAATACAATAAAAATTACACCTAGTGTTAATTGACTCTCTCTCACATAACTATGAGGGAAAAAGTAAGCCATTTTACATTTGATCTAAAAGTTACCGGAGTAAAACATTAAAAAAAAACTCACCTGATTGGTTTGTATAGTGGCCGAACTGAGAGTAAAATGTTTTCCGCTAATATATTAACGCTATTGATGACAACCCTTGAGAGGAGTTATTTCAAATAGAAATTGAATATAATAAAATCTCTTAAACATACATAGCATTGAATTTGGTCACAGTGCTCGAATGATTCTAATAGTATTACTTATTAATTAAATTCTAGAAGCATGGTTTGGTCAGCCGTCACATCCACATTTCTGTTGATTCCCGTTGGGCCACGAAGTTCTCTTATTCCTCAGAAAGATATTTTTAGTTATGTTTTTAAGGTTGTCCACAATTTTAGTAGATGGTTAATAATAATAACTGTATCTGATCGAATAATGTACTGTAGGTGGTCGCTAATTGCGAGTCATCTACCAGGGAGAACAGACAACGAAATAAAAAATTACTGGAACTCTCATCTCAGCCGTAAATTCCACTACATCAGAAAGTCTCACGACGTCCCCACCGTAATCATGAACGTTCCTCCGACGTCAGAGCACCTGCCGGAAAAACGGAGATTAGGGAGAACCAGCAGATCCGCCATGAAACCCAAAACTCACAGACCAAAAACTAGAAAGACGAAAAAAACGTCTGCACAGCCGGAGTCAGGCGCAAATGTAGCAGTTAACACGGCGATTGGAGAAGAAGCATTAATGATGGATTTAAGTGGAGCCGAGGTTGAGCTAGGACCACGTGATGTCTACTATTATGGAGCTTGTCACGAAGTAGGAGATTGTTGCAATACCAATAATAAAATTAATAATGTCATGAGCATTAATAGTGACGATGGAGTTTTGTCCTTTGATGATGACATCATTGATCTTTTGTTGGACGAGTCAGATCCAGGCAACGTGTTTACTTCGAGTGTTGGTGATGGGGAGTTGAGTCATTTAGGAGACTCTACAATAGCCAGCGGGTCGTTAGAGACTTCGAACCTAGGTAATCTTCAGTCTTGTCTGTCGGTGGAATCGTTTCTCAACTACGAGCATCAAGTCAACGATGCTTTGATGGATGAGTTTATTGATTGGGACTGTGTTTGGCAAGAAGGTAAGAGCAATAAACTTTGCGTTGAGAAAGAGAGTTCTGATTCAGTGGTGTCTTGGCTTCTGGACGGTGATGATGAGGCCACGATAGGGAAAAGTAACTGCGAAAATTTTGGGGAACCGTTGGATCATGACGAGGAAAATGCGTTGGTCGCTTGGCTTCTGTCTTGAAGATGTTAAATGATTAATTTGTGTTACGTTTGTAGTCTTTCGTGCAGCTACACTTTGAGTCCATTCCATGTGGTGTCATCTCAACTTATGAAGTGTATGCCTTCTGGTTTGCTTCTGAAAGTTTAGGATTGAAATGTTGTATCTAATAATATATATATTTTTTTATCTATTAATATTAGTCTAAATTATGTTGCAATAAAACTGGTTTTGAAAGATCAAAACAACATATTAACATCGTTTTTCTAATTATATGTTAAATTTATTCAAAGAAAATAAACTTTGTATACCAAGTGCATCTGTTTTTTTTTTGTTTTGAGAAAGCTAAAACTTAGTTACAACTCCAGATCTATTATCTTGTAGCATGCCACATAGATAACTCTCCCAGCCGACTTATTACCATTTTCATGTAATTTAATAAAGAAGTACAAGATGTATATGTGTGTAGAATCATTTAAAGTATACGGCTTAGTTTAAAAACTAAAAAAAAAATTATGAATTAGTAGCAATGAGCCTGCATTAACGAGTTTTCATAACAAAAAGGAAGGGACCTAGAGAGTATTCTTGAGGGAACGAACGACCCCACGCATTAAATTTATGTTCGAATAGTAATTTATGAATACCAGTTGGCAACTTGGCATTTACAATATAAAAGTTTTTGTTTTCTTTCTTATTAAGTTTGATATTTTGAATATACGCATAATACACAGTGTCTTTCTTATACGCATGACTTGGTTCCATGATCTTTGGAACGCCCACGTGATGCCATGTACTTTTTCCTTGAACTTATTCTTGTAGTCTTTTCGTTTTTGTTCTATATATTATGTCCGGGTATAAGTAAAATGTATCTGAGAATATAAGAAGCTAACTAGTATTGGCATAGATTGTTTCTTCAAGACTCCTACTGTTAGATAAACTGAATTTATACGGTAGTGGCAATAGAATTTTATTTATGAAAAGTATAATATAAAGAATGATGTAAAATTAATAATTTTTTTGTAGTGTCCATCTCGTGAGAGAAGGTAAGCGAATTAAAGTTTGCGGGGTAAGCTAAACCAACTCTTAGGTTATACGTATGTGTAGATGCACGTACAATGTTTCTATAAAAGAACCAAACAAATTGAATGTAGGGAAATTAAACCTCTAACTAATTAGAGATCAAACGTAGGGTTGGTTTGCTGCAGCTCCATGCATGTTAAGAAGATCTGACAATTAAGTAGTTGATTTGTTTAACAAACTAGTAACCACGTTCAATATGAACGTTAGTGATTAGTCGACACTTTGCTAGGCTTGATGTTTGAACATGTAATTTCGGTATTTATATTTGAGCAGAGAAAGACCATTAAGGCCCAATAAAACTTTATAGTTGTAGTTTGTATTGGGTTATACGAGGCCGGGCTGGTCGCTCAGTGAGTTTGGATTGGGGGTTAAGAATTACAAAATTTAAAAGAAGAGGCGTGTAACAAAACTAGTTTTAAAAGTTGAGGAGGGTCTTGCTATATCTATTTTTGGAAAGGACTTATTCGCTGCGTCATCTCCGTGAAAGATGTGGCCAAACCAGTCATCATAGGACATGTAACCAAGCCACGTAGAAAGAACCATCGATCACCGTTCATAATACATTATGACTAAATCGACGATCAAGATCGCGCCGTGTCATTATGTGATTTTTTTGGACTCAATGTTTTATGTATCATTCTTGTCTAAGGGAGAGCAGAGCAAGCACACTTTTTACCAAATATATCACACAGCTACTTCTCTCCAAAAAGTGAAAGAAGAGAAGGAAAAAAATGGGGAAATCTCAGATCTGGTTCGGCTTAGCGTTAGTGGCGTTGCTGGTGGTGTCAGCCATAGCGGATGATGTGGTTGTGTTGACGGAAGATAGCTTTGAGAAGGAGGTTGGTCAAGATAAAGGAGCTCTTGTCGAGTTTTACGCTCCCTGGTAAATCCATCACTTCTAGCTTTGATGAGATTAGATTCGTGAGATTGATAATGCTTTGATTTGTGGATCGGAGTCTTTTATCCATGATTTTGAAATGTCAGATGAATGATAGTGTGATTGATTGATTTGATAAAATAATAAAAATAGGTGTGGGCACTGCAAGAAACTAGCTCCAGAGTATGAAAAGCTAGCTGCCAGCTTCAAGAAAGCTAAGTCTGTCTTGATTGCTAAGGTCATTGTCTCAACATCACTCCTTCTTTGTTACTTATACAGATGATTTCATTCTTTTACTTATTATTGACTTTGTCTGTTTGTATTGTGTTGCAGGTCGATTGTGATGAGCATAAGACCGTCTGCTCTAAGTATGATGTTAGTGGATATCCAACCATCAAATGGTTTCCTAAAGGCTCTCTTCAGCCCCAAAAGTATATTGGCTGCACCTTCCTTTTTTATTTTTTTTATATATAACTGATTCCCCCAATCGAAAATCTATTGTTGGATAGAATGTTTTCTTATGTATCTTTTATTATTAATAGGTACGAGGGTGCACGCAATGCTGAAGCTTTGGCTGAATATGTCAACAAGGAAGGAGGTAATCTTACTAGTAGCTAAAGCTAGCCTAATGTTTTGTCATTATTTATGTGTCTTAGATTATGTTTGTGAAAATGTTCAATCATTTGTTTTGGAAATATGATACACACTGAATGGCACCACTTTCTCAAGTCTCAACATTGCATTACGATCTACTGTCGGAAATTTGTTTTCTTAGACTTGTTTTTATTCATTTTTACTCTTTTAGAATTCTTGTTTCTAATCCTCACAACTGTTAACAAATATGTTTTCAGGTACCAACGTGAAATTAGCTGCAGTTCCACAAAATGTAGTTGTGCTAACACCTGACAATTTCGATGAGATTGTATTGGATCAGAGCAAAGATGTCTTGGTCGAGTTTTATGCCCCATGGTACTACTACTACTATCTCTTTCTTCACTCTCATGGTTTTGCTTTCTTTCATGCCGTTTTCTAATTTTTGATTTTTACATCTTCCAGGTGCGGCCACTGCAAGTCCCTTGCTCCTGTATACTCTTCTCAACTATTTGTCTACTTTTGTTATAACAATAGTCTATTTTCCCTTTCTTATTAATGTCCTTGTTGTATTTTTCCAATTCGCCAGGTATATGAAAAGGTAGCCACGGTGTTCAAGCAAGAAGAAGGTGTAGTCATCGCCAACTTGGATGCTGATGCACACAAAAGCCTTGGCGAGAAGTAAGTTGGTCTATAGTTTTTTTTTACTGTATTAAATTCGTAAAGCCTAAGGATGAAATCAGCTAACTTTATTTTGTTCCACAGGTATGGAGTAAGTGGATTCCCAACATTGAAGTTCTTCCCGAAGGACAACAAAGCCGGTCACGACTACGACGGTGGAAGGGACTTGGATGACTTTGTAAGCTTCATCAATGAGAAAGTTGGGACCAGCAGAGACAGTAAAGGCCAGCTTACTTCAAAGGTGACGATAAGATAAAACATTTCTCTTCTAAAATGGAAAAATTCGATCTAGTGTTTGAAAGCTTTTGTTGATTCATCTCTCTTTTTCTTTGATAGGCTGGTATAGTTGAAAGCTTGGATGCGTTGGTAAAGGAGCTAGTTGCAGCCAGTGAAGATGAGAAGAAGGCTATCTTGTCTCGCATCGAAGAGGAAGCTACTAACCTTAAGGGCTCCACAGCAAGGTATGTACTAGTTTTAGCGTTTCATCATTACATCGAATTAGAATGTTAGAGTTTCTTTTGTTGTTGTTCCTTTTAATTCTCGAACTTAAATGATGTCTCTCTCTACCTAATATATAATAGGTATGGAAAGCTTTACTCGTCACTCGCAAAGAAGTACATAGAAAAAGGTTCGGGGTATGCTACCAAAGAAACTGAGAGGCTTGGACGCGTCCTTAGCAAGGTCTAAAATCATTTCTTCTTCTTTTGTCTCTCTCTCTCTAAACATTTTTCTAATGGTGTTTTTTTGTTGCAGTCGATGAGTCCCGTGAAAGCTGATGAATTAACTCTCAAGAAAAATATCCTGAACACCTTCGTTGCTTCTTCTTAGAAGCCAGAGATTGAAGAATAGGAGCCGGTCGATAGACTTTTTATATAAACTGATACAAAACATGGAGGTTCTGTTATGTCTGTCGAGATTTGTGGTTATTTCTGCGTAGTTCTGAAAACTCTTTTGAACCAAGTTTCTTTGTCTTTCGTACGATAATCATAAAAAGGAGAACTTTTTATTTTCTTTCTTTCAGCTCTTAGCTCTTATAGATTCTCTAATTCGAGTAATCAAATGCATGGTACACTTATAAGAATCAGTGAAAAAAAGGTTTATCTATCACAGTATTAGTATTACCAATCTCCAAATGAACGCAACTAATATAAAGTTAACACATTACGGTTACTAAGAAGAAGAACATATGTAAAAGTAACACTTATGTTTTATTGTTGTTGTTATCAAATCAAATATGAATTGTAGTCTCAAATGTCCATTGCAATTTTTGTTTATGTTAATGATAGAAACTCGAAATTATTTAAAGGGCTTTTTCAACTGAAGGAGACTATTTTTCAACAAAAATGGGCCAGGGTCATCCAATACAAATTATAAGCATGGCACATCAAAATCAAAATACAAACATTTTACCTCTGCAAATTTCAATATACACTACTATCTCCATTCTAAAACCTACTTCATAGACACATTGTTTACTTGATTATGACATATAGTTCAGATTGTAAAGATGATTTTCAGAAGATTACTGAAATAAATAGTAATGCATCATGCATGTGACATCTTAAGTCAAACTAAAGTCGCATCAAAACAGATCAAAAAATGTTCATATTCTTAAAAGCAGGCAACCACCGCATGCACGGAGAGCCGGCCTTCAACAAGACTCGTCGAGAAAAAAATGAATAGGAAGCAAAAAAAGTCAAAAACCATGAACAATCCGAGAACATTTATTCTTAATCCAACGGAATCCATTCTTGAAAGTGGATTTAACTTTGCCTTCCACAGTATAAGCTTTATACCTCGCGATTCTCTTCTTCCTCTTCATCTCTGCATCCTTCACACCCCAAGACGGCCTCGTCGACGATGCATTGCTCCTACGCGCCGCCTCTTCCCCCGGCGGAGGTTGAAAAGACGGAGGAAACTCGTGAGTCCCGTAGATCTGATTACTTCCTCCAACGCCGTAACCTTTACCGCTCACCACTTCTGTCCTCCGATCAACGATGTAGGCCGTTCTCTGACCCCACCCGGTTCCAAACCCATCTTGGCTCGCCATTTTTCCCCCCTTGCGCCGGACCGTTCGAGATTAAGTAGACTTGAGAAGAAAGGGCAAATATAAATTAAGGCGGTGGACAACTCGAACTCCTGTTTGGTCGGTCTTTTTGTAGTTATAAAATAAGTACTTTTAAGATTTAACGAAATATTTGTTTTTTCTAACGTTTAAATAAAATTAAAGGTTTTATTTGTAATAGTTAACTGTAATCAACATACATTTACAGCTCACTACTAGCTTAGGATACCTGCACCATCTGTCATATGAAATCTACTGTCACATTCACATACTTTTCTGGATTCACTGTACTTGTTTATTTTTCGTTTAGGTAATACAACTATTCAGTTGAACGTATATATTATTTTTACAATATGGCAGCTGTTCATTTCACAACAGTAACAAAAAAAAAAGCGATTCCTTAAATATACCGTGTCATGAATCCGCAAACAATAAATGGTTAATTAAATCTAGCTTTTCTAATTTATACAATTGTAATTAGAAAGAGACTATGCATAGTGTTATCGTGTGTGTTGATCTGTTTTGTATAAAAGCAGCTACTAATTGATCTCATAAACAAAAAAAAAACTCATATAGATTAGTTCGATAAACGATAAAGTTTGGTTAAGTTTTTGATTTGTTTGGATTCAGTTTCAGTTTATCAGCTAACAGATAAATAAGAATATCTTCTTAATGTGGATTAAAACTGTAAGTTCGTCTCCTTTCTTGGGTCCAAGGTTGTCTTATGTAACATTTTATAAAACCAATTAGGATATGAAAATATGGTCGGCTTGAAGAATCCATTCATCAAGTCTTTATGCGTTCAGCAGAATGGGCATATACAGTAGTCCATAGGCCTTTCATAAATCAGTTGTTGGCAAACTTTGAGCAAGGCCTATACACAGAGGACACTCCGGAACCACAGAAGTTGACATGCAAGGAGTTGGTGGTGTTGTGTAGTTGGTTCGTCGGTCATCACGCTCTTTGTTACCTCTTTTCTATAATAAGCGCACAAAAAGCAGCATGTAAACATTCATTTTTGGTTGGTCTATTATTTTATTATATCAGTCTCTCTGCATTCAAATTTTACGTTCCCATATTCCGTATTATTATAAACTTAAAAACATATACTATTTAAAACAAAAAATTCTTTGACTGGTATGACATTTCCAATTGAGGATTAAACCAAGGTTCAAACATAAAATCATCTACCAAAAAGAAAGAAAAAAGAAAAGTGCAGTTCACATGAGAAGTGACGAAAAGAGATCCAAGGGTTAGGATTCGTTCGCTCAGGGGAGGTTGAGGGTATTAACAACATTTATTGCAGCCAGCAGTGATCTCGCTGTACGATATCTCAATTACAAGCTTAGTCTTGACTTCCTTTTTGGACAATATTATCATTTCGTTGTTTTTGTCGGATGAGAAACTAAAGTTTAACTAACTTTAATGTTTTTCTACGTGAACGACTTTAATTATTTCGGAATAAAATAATAAAGAAAGTATAACGTATGATATTTACGTAATCGAATATGCATATACATCGATCCATGCTCTTTATAAACAAACCAAAAGTCCCCTCCCCTCTCTTTAACTAAAATTCTCCACTGCTCACTCTCTCTCTCTCTCTCTCTCTAGATCTGTAGATTATTTACATATTAGCATATATACGGTGAGAGAGAGTGTGATGAAGATAAGGTATTGGGAGAAGTCTAGAGGATACGAAAGGCTTGATGGATCGGCGAAGAAAGCGAAATCATCGGGTGGGAGAAATGTGAAGCGAGTCAAGTTTGATCCGACCAGCAGGAAGAGACGGTTTTGGAGGAGGATCAAGATAGTGCCGAAGCTGAAGGTCTTGAAAAGGGCGTCTCCTAAGAAGTTTTTAACGTGGCTTCGAGATGCTTACGTCAATATGATGCTGCGCCTAGCTAATTCTCGGGTCATCGAGTCTTATGGATACGGTGGAGAATATGGACACGGTTCGGGTTTAGCGTCGTCGAGGGAGTATGATGAGAAGAAGCTGGTGGAGATTTACAAATCCATGTTGATGGCGCAGGGGACTCTCGTACCTAAGCTTTCGGCCGATTCTATAAAACTTTCACCTCTTATGTAATTACATCGATTTTAGTTGCAACAACAAAAGAAAATATATGGGGATTATCGATGCTAAAGTTGTGATTGTAATCTGTGTTAAAGTTACAGTTCTGAAACTATCAAATACTATAGTAGTATTAATCAAATAATAGTGGATCCAACCTTTTATAAAATGGCTTGCATTTATGACGTGTTGGCTTGAAAAATAATTTAGTGTAATGTTTTCGAATAATATATTATTTGGTTGACTTTTGGTTTGCTTGACCAACTACAATTGTATCGTTACTTGTGGCTATGATTTTGTGAGTAGTGAATAATTTTTAAAAACATTGTACAAGTTACGAGTACTTGATTCTGTCCAAAGCATCAAGTCTCTAAGAACCGTCATTGCTTACATCATATGCAATGCAGCGATTCAATGATTTTGCTTTGTGTATTATATTATATGAGATGATTCCGCTGTAATCTAACCATACAACTTTAATATGTTTAGTTGTCTTTGTATTACGTAATTCACGATAGCAACTTTCTTCGACTAGTTTCACTATGATTAATTCAACAAACAGTTTAACTTTATAAGTAAACAAAAAGAGAGTCAACAAATGTTTTTTTTCCATTTGCCATTGAATTTAGAAAATTACTACCAAGTAAAAGTGTGTGATCAGTTTAACAAAAACAAAATTACATATCGGATTGGACGGATTCGTGACGTATATATTATAACACTGACCGGGCCTAGTTCCAACTAGTACGAAGTCAGCAGTCATCCGTAAGTAGAGCTTAATTTGTAATTATTATGTCTTGAAACCCAGTAAATGCATTATAAGTCCTTAAGCCCAAAAGAAAAAGTTCAAAATCATGGGTTAATAAATGGAAACTATTGGTGGTGATAGGAAGAGGACCCCATTATTGAAGTCTAGTTGGCCCATGCTGTTATATTCTTTTTAAAAGGAGCTAGGCCTGTAAGTAACATGGTCAGGTGAGGTCCAGAAAGTTAAGCCCGGCCCACATTTATTAGCGAAGTCAAATAAAACTATGAGAGAGCATTTAAGACATGGTGATGGGACCGGACCAGAGAGTTTGGTGATTGGTTGGTATTAGGCCTGAGACCGACTCTGATTTGTCTGGCTGAGAAGGAAACTATAAATAATAGTATTTTTTTTTAGCAATTTATTTATATTTCTCCAAGAAAACGAGAGCCAATCAGAAAAACAATTGAAATTTCTCGTCGTCTCCCTCCTCTCGTTGAATAATAAAAAAACAAAAACAAAAAAGACACAACCAACAAGTCCCGGTTCTGTTTCTCTAGGATATCTTCCCATGTTCGTCTCGTCGTCGTATTGATAAGATCTTCATTCGTTCAGATTCATTTGAAGTCGGTCGCCTCGTTGACTCATATAAAACGTAAGAGAGGAGAGAAATAAGACTACAGACTCTGACTCGAGACTCGAGACTCGAGAGAGATCCTCTTCTCGGCCATGCGACGCTGCTTCGCCGCTAAATCCCTCTCCACAGAGGAAATAACACCATTTTTGTCTCAAGTATTATTCTTCCCGCGTTTCCATAAGGCTCTTCCTCTTCCTCTTATTATTATTCGTTCAGATCCAAGAGATGTCCGCTAATTCTCATCCTCCCAATTCCACTAATGTCCTCTGTAATGCCGCCGCCGGTGCCGCCGCTGGTAATCTTCCGATCTCATGTTTGAAATTGCCTATTCAAGCTTATCTCGATTTCGAAGCTGAAATACATTTTCTTTTTGTTTGTAAATTTGGGATTGGTAAAAAAAGGGGTAATTGCGGCAACGTTTGTGTGTCCACTTGATGTAATAAAAACGAGGTTTCAGGTTCATGGCCTACCAAACCTTTCTCATCCCAACATCAAAGGTTTCTCTTTTTACTTTTATTTATATCATCTTGGAGTTACCAATCACACCATTGCTAATATGTTTAAGGTCCTTGATTTGGTTGGTCAGGTAGAAGTATAATTGTTGGGAGTCTTGAGCAGATCTTCAAGCAAGAAGGCATGCGTGGCTTATACCGTGGTCTTTCCCCTACCGTCATGGCTCTCCTCTCCAATTGGGCGGTTTGTTACTAGCTTGTTATTGTACCTCTTTGATGATCCCTGGAGGAAAGTAAGTAGATTGCTTGTTCTAAACAAGTTGTAAACTGTTTTTTTTTTTGCAGGTTTATTTCACAATGTATGACCAGCTCAAGAGCTTTTTAATCTCAAATGGTAAGTCCTTATTGCACAAAAAAACATTTATTTATAGTTTGATTACTTGCCTCTGCTTCTGCTTTTTCCAATCAACAGTGGGGTTAATCTAACTTTATTTGTACATAACAATAGATAAGGATCACAAATTCAGCGTTGGTGCTAATGTAATGGCTGCCTCTGGTGCTGGGGCTGCTACTACAATTGCCACTAATCCTCTTTGGGTTGTCAAGACTAGGCTCCAGGTCCCCTTTCTTCTCCTTTTTATGCAAATATACTACATACATACAGGTGAAAATATAAGGGAACGTTAATTAGTACACCCACTGTCTTACTTAACATAATTGTGCCAAGCAGCCAAACATACAAATGTGCAACTTTTGTTACATTACAGTAAGGTAATCTTTGTAATGATATCCTCCTTCAGACACAAGGAATGAGAGTGGGTGTAGTGCCATACAAGAGTACATTCTCTGCTTTAAGGAGAATTGCTTACGAGGAGGGAATCCGCGGATTGTACAGTGGTCTTGTCCCTGCACTAGCTGGTATCAGTCACGTTGCCATTCAGTTTCCTACTTATGAGATGGTCAAAACCTACTTGGCCAACAAAGGTAACCTATTTTTCTTTATTATCCCCAATATACATCTTTGTGGAGGAGATTAGTATAAAAGATAAGCTAAAAAGTCTGTGTACCCAACAGGTGATAAATCGATCGATGATCTCAATGCTCGTGATGTAGCAATTGCCTCTTCAATTGCAAAGATATTTGCTTCCACACTAACTTACCCCCACGAGGTACTATACCTCTACTCCCATCAATCCCTATATTTCTTACAGTTTGGTTTAAATGACTACCTGTTGAATCTGAAGGTTGTACGAGCAAGGCTTCAAGAGCAAGGACACCACAGTGAGAAACGTTACTCGGGGGTAAGAGATTGCATAAAGAAAGTGTTTGAGAAAGATGGTGTCCGGGGATTTTACAGAGGATGTGCGACAAATCTCCTGAGAACAACGCCTGCTGCAGCTATTACATTCACTAGCTTCGAAATGGTTCATCGTTTCCTGGTCACTCACTTACCTTCATAGCAAAGCTCTATACTCTTAGATTTGTTTGCTTTTTTGATGATGATGATGATGACGACTAAATGTGTGGTTTAGTGAGGTAAAACAGGTTTATTTTACACAACTAAAAAAGTTTATTTACTCCCTCCCTTTTGGGGGACACAGATCAAAATAGGATATCGTTTTTGGACAAAGCTCTTGGATTTCAGCTCACATGTTTTTTTTTTTTTTAATGTTTCTGTTGAAGAAATCAGGAGATGCATTGTTGTAAAAGACTGATTCTTTTATCTCTCTCTTTTTCTTTTTTTTTCACCTTTTTATGAAAGAGAGAGTTTGTAGTCTTCTCTCAGTTGCCATGGATGGTTGTCAAGCTAGGCTTCATATTACTCCTGGCTTGTGATATAAACCCACATTTAACTAGACAGTTTCACCACACTTGGTTATAGTATCTCACATGCTCTGCAGACCTCCTCTTAAACAGGAAACCAAACATGAAAATGATGCAAGATTTTCCAATATTAGCGACGTGTCTGCTCACAACAATATTATTTTCATACATTTGCATACATGTTTTTTTATCGATTTTTATTTGTAGAAATTCCTGATTAAGCTAAACAACAAAAAAGAAACCGAAAAAGGGAAACCAAATAAAAAAGAAAGGAATCATATGAATCGAAAGTACATCTTTTTGTGAAGCATCATACATGACAACATGTGATCGCAGCATTCTGTACGTTTTAGTAGCTCCATACGATTTAACAACCATGTTTGTGTGTGGGATCGGCATTACATGTGATGTGAGTGCGGTGAAATCAATTCAAAAATTCTTTCTTCTTTTTCATAGGATGTGATTCATGTGATGTCCTACTATATATCTATATACAAAACGACAAAATATATGCTACAATGTTTTCCAGTAATAATGTTATTGCTGGTAGTTTATTGCTTTGATCATTTATCAATATGACTAATCATCGTGATTACAGAGCAAAAGCATAAGGATGATGGAGAAATGATGCCGTTATGTTTAACCATAACTTATTTTTGTTCCTGCAAATTTACAATGCATAGCTAAGTAGTATCAGCCTAGTAATGATTATTTTTATATGATGCAAGATGTAGCTTTTGTTAACAGTGTCCATGTTAGGTACTATCTTTTTCTTGGAAAGTATAACCAGAATAATTGTTATCATCATTGTTGATATATACAAAAATATAAATGTTTTTTTTTTCCTTAATCTCTTTAAAACAATGGAATAAAGTGGATTATCAGGGGATGCTTTAATTCACCAGAAAAATAAAGGGGCATCGAAACATCAAAACTGTCTTCATGGAAGTATGATTAAGTCTCACATGCTCTGTTTCTCCTCTTTATTCTTTTCTTTCTCCTCAGTTTGGTTTAACCTAAAGTTTTTATAAAGGTAAACACAGTAAATCATTATGTTTTACACATAAGGACAATATATAAACAGTTCTTCTGTTTCATAACCAAAATCAAAATATATTTGTTATATTAGTCTCGACTCTTTTGATCAGGTAGCATTTTGAAATTTCAAAAATTATATTAGTTTTCAATTATTTAGGCGAGTGGTCATACAAAACGACTAAAAAGAAAATGTCAATGAGAAACGTGTCAATAATCTATTCGCTTGTGCTATTGACTTGGGTAACAGTCGGTCGTAGCACCATCCATAGTTGAATTCTTTGTGCGACGTGGTCCCCGTCGGGAACGCTCTACGTGGGGTTACCTGCTAGGCTCGCATTCCGAACCTGATTAAGTTCGGTTCCGAGGCAGCAGTTTGAATTTTTTGAACGTTGAATCTAACCCACTTCAGTTCGTTTATGCGCATTTTCCTTTTCTTAATAAGATTATTATAAGCATCCCTATTACAAATCTACTTGTAAATCGCCTAATCGGATGTCTTAATAATAAAAAAATATCGCTGTCAGTGTTTGGTGGTGTGTTGATCTCATCGACACCGTCGGATGTTGATATGTTGCCCATATACAATGTTTTCTTTATTACCAACATGGAATTCAAACCGTGATTAGACTAAATTTCCATATCAACTAAGTGCGTCCGTTATGGACCAATAAAAGAAATGATTCGAATTATTAATCACAGGATTTGTCATTACAAGTTAATCAATTTATATTTGTCTTATATTGTCTTCTTAAAGACCCAAAATCTATGTCGTCTACAACATTGTTTAACAAATGAGCCATATGGAATGCATTGAATATTTTCTTCGTATTTTTTTTTTTGTAAACAATTTTTTAAATAATATCTCAAGATGGCTATATATTTTAGGATCATTCTAATACTATGTAATATTCATTGTTAAAAAGAAATACTAAGTACTATCCTAAAGTAGTATATTTACTAAATAATAAATTAGCCACCCGTCATATATACACATAACTTAGTTGGGGGGAAAGAATCCTATGTACTTACCAAATGTAATGAAATGGATCGTTTACTAGAGAAAATGGGAATAAAATAGTGAAGAGATTGGGTAATGGACCTAAATGGAGTAAGTAACTGTATATTAGGAAAGGAATGTCTCGCCTAACATTCTGCTTATATAACAAACAACATTATAAAAAGCATTCATTGTGAATTAAATGTTGTAGCTTAGGTCACTAACGTAAAACCTTATTTCTTTGCTTCTAAAGCATTGCAAAGACACATGGAATCAACTTATTCACAACTACTGTTCTATCTACATCGATTTGTTGCTGACTTTAACGATCCCTCTTCTTATTTAGTTTTGAGAATTTTTTTTAATAAGTAATTTTTTAAGAAATTTAGATTACATATTAGTATAATCAATATCTGAATGTTCTTATAACTTATAGAATATGCAGCAGACTAAATACTACTAGCAAGACATAATTTATATTTTAATAACTACGTATATTAACTATTACATTAAATTTTCATTATGTTAATGAAATATTATCATAATACAATCAAAACAGGATCCCACATATTTGTCTTCAAATGACAATTTTTATTATCTTCCTTCCAAGGAAAAAAGCAATAAAAATGTGGATTCGAAAAAAACTAAACCAGTATAATAATTAAATTTAATAATAGCAACAACAATCACTTATCATCCAATTCACGCAACAATAAATAAATAATTAGTAACAAACTTATAAATCGATAGAAATAGTAAGTGAGGTTAGAAAATCCAAACGGTAGTGGAGGCCTTAACCGAAAAAGATTCTCGCTTGCTCCACACGCGCGGGAAAAAAAAGAGAGAAAATACGTTTTTGTTTTGTTTTTGTTTGTCTAAGCCGAAGCTGGAGGTTCGGAAAGAGAGAAGGGGGAAGGAAGAGTGAAGAAGACAGAGTATAAAGCAGAGTTTTTTAGCTTTACAACCTTGTATTTGAGAGCATTCATTCTTTTCATTCTTTCATGGTGCTTATTATGAGTAGTATTCTCCTCCTCTTCATTGCTATATACTAAAGGAGAACTCTCTCACATTACACCTTTTATTTATCCTTTAGTAAAGAAAAAGAAGAATAATTCCTCAATTTCTCTCTCATTTCTGTGGAGCAAATTAGACGGAGGAGTGGGATATAGATGGCGGCGACTGCGAGGGAAGATGGAGGAATGAGCTTCACTGTGGCTTCAGTAATGGAAGATGTGTTGCAGCAACACGGTAATGGACTTAGAGATCATGATCTTGACTCTCGTCGTGCTGAAGAAGCTGGTAATCCATTTTTCTTTCTCTGCCTACTTGTCTTACTTTCATGATTACAGAGAATGTTTGATCTGATAAAATTGATGTAAAATTTAGTAGCCTCTGATCATTTTTGTTGAAGAAAACATACGGTTTATAAATATAAATGTGGATCTTGTGAATTTGCGTAGCATCGAGGAGATACGAGGCAGCTAATTGGCTGAGAAAGATGGTTGGAGTGGTGGGAGCTAAAGATCTGCCTGCTGAGCCAACAGAAGAAGGTTTTAGGCTTGGATTAAGAAGTGGTATTATCCTTTGCAAAGTCCTTAATAAGGTTCACCCTGGTTCTGTTTCTAAGGTAACTTTCCAGCTTGATTCCTTTCCAGAGTTTTAGGAACAGGTCTTGATCTCTCTATTCTGGTAAAATCAGGTTGTGGAGAGTCCTTGTGATGCCATTCTTGTTGCTGATGGAGCGCCTTTATCAGCCTTTCAGTATTTTGAGAATGTTAGGAACTTCCTTGTTGCTATCCAGGATATGGGTTTTCCAACTTTTGAAGCTTCCGATCTTGAGCAAGTATGATGTAGTTCCAGCCTTGTTCTGATTTTTCTTTTCAGAATCTTCAAGAACTGCTCATGAGTATGCATTTTTTATCCTTTTTTTTCTTGTAGGGAGGGAAAGCTTCTCGTATTGTGAATTGTGTTTTGGCAATCAAATCGTATGATGAATGGAAACAAAGTGGTGGAATTGGAGTTTGGAAGTTTGGTGGTAGCATTAAGCCTCCATCACTCCCTAAATCTTCATCTTTCGTGAGAAAGAACTCTGAGCCCTTCATGAACTCTTTATCCAGAACCTCTTCTATCAACAATGAGAAATCTCCCTCTGAGACTGATTCTAACAACCTGGTTAGCCTCTTTAACTGTCTCCGATTGTTGGCTCTGTCTTCTGAAGTGGAATGTTTGATGTTTAAATGTCTGTCTACCTCTGTTTTCAGTCCAATTCAGGTTCCTTGAGCACACTTGTTCGCGCCGTTCTTTCAGATAAAAGGCCTGAGGATGTGCCTAAGGTGAGTATCAAACGACTTTACTTTGTTAATCAGCTAGACATCTTTGGCATTTCTGTTTCTTCTAGTTAAGGTGGCTTTGTTATGTTCTTAATCTAACTGCCTAATGTTATGGTAACAGCTGATTGAATCCCTGCTAAGCAAAGTTGTCGAAGAGTTTGAAAATCGAGTTACAAACCAGTATAAGTTGGTATGTTTTCACTTTCTTCTGTCTCTTGGTGCATTGGTCGGTTCACAAAATATGTTTTTCTGTTGTTTCAAAACTCTTCTAATCAATAGAACTCTATCACGTGAAGGCCAAAGCAGCTCCAACAGAATCAACTTCTTTAGTTAACTGCAGATCATTTCATAAACCTGTTGGTGAAAGAGAGGTAAAGTCTTCCTCTTTTCTGTAAAAGATAGGTTAGAGGGTTTCACTAATTACTGAAGTGTCATTGTAGAGGGAAGAGAAGAGTTTCAGAGCAATAAAGAAAGACGAACCTAATCAGAAAAGCCTAATTCTTGATGAAGAGATGAAAAATCGACAATTTAAACAACTGACAATCTTCAACCAACAACAAGAAGATATAGAAGTAAGCACTACACTACTCCATTTCAAGCTTTTATCGAGTTTAGGATAAGTGACCAACAGGTTTCTGAGTGTATCTACTGCTCTTTATGCTTTCTAGGGACTAA